TTTCTTTTTACTTAGCCAAGCCCCGTACAAATATTCTATATATTTAGGTACATCTATGGACTGTCCGTTGAACGTTTATCTATCAGGGAATTTCAATTTTTAGGAGAGTTTTTTAAAAATTGTAAATTCATTTACCTTTTGCCTACCCTTACCCTCTGCCCCTATTTCTGTCATTTATTGAATTTTTGTTACATTTTTGAGTTTATTTGATTTACGAGATTTTCAATGTTCAGTTTTCTTTTTGTTATTTTCGATTAGTTTTAAGAACAAACACGAAACACGCAAACTTTTTGTTAAACATTTACTCACGATGCCTGATTAATTGTTGAACTTTTTTTTAAGGGAACTTTATTATGCTTTTGGCTTTTTTGGCTGTTACAGTTTAAGAGCGCCCCATGCCATGGCGCTATAAGCATATTATATCTATGTCTTACATATTTTTTCATGTATTTTGAGAAAGGATCTCCAGTGCTTTAACCACTTATTATCCATATACCTATACACACACAACGTATGTAGCCACGAAACACGCACTAATCTTTACATATTGTTAAATAACAATGATTTAATTTAATTCATTTTTTGTACACTTGCATAAAGATCAACTCACAAAAACACACATATTCACAAATCTAAAAGAAACATGTTGCTTTTTCTTACTCATTAAATTTCCTACTTTTCATTTAGCAAACACTTATTCGAAGCTTAACCAACACTACTAACCTCTTCCAAGCTTTTCCCAGCAGATTGTTACTCTTAAGAATCGCCGATATCCGAAAAGAAAGAAACAAACTTACTAGTCATAATATCAAAAGTTAAATTCAAACGAATTTAAGCATAAAAACAATCAAATTACTTTACCAAGACAAAACAAACTGAACGAAATCTAAATGCTGGTTTAAAACACTGGCGACTGGTGACTGTACTCCAGGCTGACATCTGTCAGGGGATGCTGTGTCGAATTTTAACAAAATCATGCTCTACACTCTCTAAACTCTATTTTAGGCATTAATTGATTTTAGCATTATTTAAAGACACCATACACTCCACACACAAAACGATAAATAAGAAGAACCTACAGGGATTTTATGGTAGAAAAACAAATTAAAAAAGGAAACAAAATAATTATAATATTAACAATACCAAAAAGGGCAAATGTTGAGCGAATGCTGCGCTGCAGAATAGTTAAATTTGTTTAGTTTTTAATGTATCAATTTGCAGAGATAAGTAATTTTTAATTAACAAATACGAGGATGATGAGGAGAAAGAATTGTATGAGTATGGAGAAAGGAGAAAGGAGAATGGAATGCGGGTCTAGGGTAACCATGGATGCCTCTTAGTGTAACGGTTTCTGTTGTAGCGCCTCTACCTACAAAAATCTTAGTTTCCTTTGCCTTTAGGGATCCCCCGGCCCCCACAGTGGTCGGTCCCGATGCAAGCCAAAGAGTGTATAAGAGCAATAAACCCAAAAAATAGAGATCGCTATGAATGCTAGTCAAATGCATTCTTACTAACCATTTACCCCATAAATAAATACCTATCTATATACAGTATACACACAGACACACACACACACACACACACACACATACCCATATACATAACGTATAATGCCTTAGATAAGGTTAAGGAATGATTAAGGAATAGGAATGGATTAAGGAGCGAATCCCAAGCAAATCACCCACTTAAATCGCTTTAATGCCAACCACAAATCAAAACAAAAGCTTATTGACTACTTTTAAATGCAGTTTACATTCTATTGTACTACGATGCAATGCAAGTATACTCTACATATGTACATCCTATACCTATACCAAAAGCCTATACCTATACCTACACCTAGAGTTAGATCATACGAATAGTTTATAAATCAGGATATCAGGGGTTGCGGTGGACAGAAAAAGAGTTGAACATTTCGCTGGAATTAACCTTAAACTATATACAAGATACAGACATACATATAGCTATATATACATACAGTATGAGTATTAAAATGGAGGATGGGTTATAGGATATATTTTAAATCTGAAAGTTGAACGAATCACAAATACCCTGTAATATTTAAGCTAGACAAACTGTAAAGATAAAATGGTGCTTTAGCTGAATTATTAATAATTGTAAGACTTACCTTGAGGGGCGGCTACAGTCAGTAGTTTCCCCTCGCTCATTGGATGGATGGATTCTTTTTAAATTACATTTTGTAGCCTCTTTTTTATTCTTACATACCCATTCAACTATTGGATGCAAAGTGTTTTAGCTCAAGCTTTGAATTTTCAGATACAACATACAAAAAAATACTCTCAACAATCACACACACACTCGAAACTCGAAAACTTGCATACATATTCGTGAAACAATTTTAAATATCTACCTACATTTACGATACTTTTTACTCACCAATGACGAAATAAGGCGACGGCGAACAACTTTTAATGGAACATTTTAAGGCTTTTTCGGCCAGATGGCAATTGGCGCACTTAATCTCGATCGATCGGATGTTAAATCAGTTTTACTTTAAAGTTTTTAACGCTTTTACAAGCTAAACTACCAAAACAAAAACAAAAACGAAAATAACAAAAAAAAAACGAGATTTTTAAATTTAATCTACAAACATTTTAAACTTTTCCGCACTGGCTTTTCATCTAATTTAAAAAAGAAGACATTTTATTTTCAAAAGAAAAAGAAAAGGAAGAATTATTATGTATCAATAAAACACACACAAGAAAAACAAGAAAAAGACAAATTAATATTTAAACGAAATGTAAAGGAACCAAAATCGAACGCTTCCCACGCAAAACCGATAATATTAAATTTTAGCAAAGTAAAAGTAAAAAATAATTAAGGAGTTTATGCAAAGCGAAATTAGACAACAATAAAATCTTAACTACCAATGCAACAAATACTACATAGTACAGATATATATATATATATATATATATATTAATATACATATACATACATACATATATTTTACAGACACAAGTCATCCGCTTATCTACTATACACCCCATTACTCTAAGACTCCTACGAGATCACTATAAAAAGAAAGAGTAAAAAACGTATTTTTAAACTCAAGGTGAAAGAATCCGAAAATCCGATGGGAGGAATATCTCTACTCTTATGCCGATATCTCTACACACACACATTAACTGTATACTGTAACCTACATATACCGTACTATATACCATATACTAAAACTACAGCTCTCTATACTAATCGATGCCCTTATATATACACAGCGGATATTTTTACTATCGTATTACCGACTGATGATTGTTCATCTGGTATTCAAAAATTCACACAAGACAACAAACAAACCACACAAGCGAACATGTGAGACACATTTTGGGGGAACATAAAAGCAAGAACTTTGCAAATTGAATTTTAAACAGTAGCACACGGAATTTGCTCGGCAAATGTGTTACAGTTAGGCAATAAGCATAGGCGATAAGGATAAGAACGCAATAAGAACGGTTTTTAAAAAGACTATTATACAACCTACTATATACGAGTATATTATATATATACACAAAGGCAAAGAAAAGAAAAGATGGAATACGAGTATGTAAGAAAATACCGAAATATTCAGAATTCAGAACGGAATACTAAGCTTTTAATGCAATAATCAAATACCACATACAATATGAATATATTTTAATAGTACTTGAAGAAGAAGGAATACGAATACGAATACGAATACGAATCTGTGCGTACACTGTTGTTATAGCAGGAAGAATGTGAAGAGGATTTAGAAGAATATTTAGTACGGGGTCGTCGTCACCGGCCAGCGAGTTACCCCTAGATAAGGGTTGTACCCTCAGGGCTGGTGTTGGGGGCGACCCAACTAATTGATTTTCCCACCTTATATAGGAATATAAACAAAAATTACTGCAGTGCCATTTTAAATAGCTTCCAATATATATATTGTATACCTATTTATGTATGTAATAAAAACTATTACTACCTATATATTGTTATGAGCAAAAGTTCAAATTGCATTATGGTTATAACAACTACACACACACACACACACGCGCACACCCATACACTCATTCATTCATTCACATAGATACACACAGCTACAAAAAAGCAAATGGAACAAAGTTGAACATTTTTTGTGAACTTTTTGAGGCTTTTTTTTTGTATACGAATTGCAAAGGGAAACACGAGCATAACGAAATAAAAGGAAAGGGACGAATAATACTATAAATATAAACAATAATGATACGCATAACCGTACAACTCCTGTAGCTAGGTATATTATTGAACAATTAACAAATCCACAACAACAAATATCTCTATTTATATCAGACTAACGAGAATTTTAATGATACGCACTAAAAGATACGGGGGGCTATAATACAGGACTCCATTAATATTTCGTACATCTAAAGAGCTTACCCATGAAGCAAAAAGCAAAGCAGAGCAGAGCAGAGAAGGAAACCCGAAGATAATGATATAAATAATAATACCAATTGTTAATAACTATGCAGCATAAATAAGAATCTATTTACTAACAAAATGTTATTTTAAACCATAGCCGAAGGCCACAGAAGACCAGAATGGAGGTAGTCTGTCTTGTCGGTCGGTCGGTCATTCGGTGCCTCATGTAATCTAAATCGAAGAATCGAGTAAATCAAGTTATAAACCCCATAAACATAACGAGTATAATATCAGACATATGAGTATTTTAAATATGCCTAGGGAAGAACATTGTATACAATGACTGCTAAACTGATGACAAATCGTATAAATGAAACAAACATAAACATAATTATTATTCATAATTCTTGTAATGAACCCTCGCCTCGGCAGGGCGATGACAATATTCATGAAGAGAGGGGAGCCTGTACATTATGTTAAGCCTTATATGCTGGCATGCTGAAGGCGCACTAAAACATCCATTACATGTATCGGAACCTAACAGCAAACACACAATAAAATGAAGTAACAGATAATAAAGGACACACAGACCAAGATCCATCACAAGACTTTCTTAATTGTTTAGCGTGTATTTTGTGCGCGGTTACACTTACTTTACTAACGTACAACAACTTCTAAGGACTAGTTTAAAACTTTCGTTCATCAAAAATACGAGTACAAAAAGGCGAGCGGCGACAACTACTTGTTCAGTTTTCTTTTGGCAAAGATCTGATAGATGCCAAGGCCGGCGGATAGGGTGCCTATCGCCCCCACCTGGAAGGTGGAGAGCTTGCCGCCCCACAGATAGCCTCCGGGAAGGGTGCTGACGGCGTGCACAAAGTCCAGGGATATGCGAGCAATGGACACCAGCTCCAGGCGATGCTTGGCCAAGGTAGTGGCATCAATGCTGTAAGTAGGGATTGCGTCAAGAGTGGCGGAAAATGTGTAACTGAAAATTGATAACTTACTCGCTTAGCTTTGGATTGCAGCTCAGTTTTTCCTGATTCAGGGAGAAGTTACGCATTGTTCTGCAAGAGAAACCCATGGGATTAGGCGATCTTTTAATTTCAATTAATTTTCTATGTACCGCATCAGGTTGAGGTAAACGGAGAGCACCCAGAATATGGAATTTACGTTGTCCCATCTGTCCGCATTCTTCACATCCACAATCTTGTGCTCGGCCAGCCAGCAGACCTTCTCGATTGGGTAGTACAGCAGGTCCACGATATTGGCCGTCACCCCCAGCACGGCCATAACGCGATCCGGCTCATTCTCCCCCAAGCCATACTCCAGGGCGTACTGTATCATGGGAATGTCGTCAATCAGCCGCAGGGTGGCCCTGGCTCCGGATATCTTTGAGCTGGCCGTGGCATATCGCTTGGCCAAATCGGGATTCCTCTTCGCATGGTAGCCAGCCACCAGTTTGGCACTGTAGCAGAGCGCTTTCATCACCTGTGAAAAGAAAGAGTGAGAGAGAAAGACAAATAGATATTATTTACTCAGTGCAGCTCAGTGCGGTACAGCTGTGTATCCAATTTATCAAGCGAACAGCACCCCGTGTCTCTGTTTGCACTCACTTGACCCCTTTTACGGAACCTCCCGCGATCCGATTCCGCTCGATCCCCTATAATTGCCATTTGTGAAATTGTTTTGTTGTCACAAACAGATAAAAAACCATCAGCGATAAAAAGAACACCAGGAATGCCACAAGCATCTTCAGTAAGTGCTGCTACAAGACTGGAGCCATCGAGTATGGAATGGAGTCCTCCTCCTACTCCTCCTCCTGATGATGGGTTTTATGTTTACTCGACTGTCTATTAATATTGCAGGATATTTGCTTTGAAATCAATGGGAATGGGGTTCGACCGATTGCTTTTGTAGGTCATCGAATTTCACCCTTGCTCCCCCATCCCCATTCCGTGGCCAATACGAAAGTGAACAAACCTTTCTCTCGCAGCGTATAATCTTCTTTATCTGGCAGCGGGTTAACTGCTTGCCGGCTATAGTATTCAACATTATCTTAAGTCTGCAGCCGACGACCAAACTCTCGTGAGTAGTATTGCCTGAGCTGATAAGCCAGGTCGAATCATGCGAATCGAAGCCATTGCCAAATGCAAGAAGTGAGGCAAGGTCCAAAACTGAGACTTCCTCGTCAAAAGCTCTCAAACCCCACTGCGAAGAGCTCAAAAAACCTGTTGGTTCAAGGTCGTGACAGAGGCAGGCCCCTCTTAATGGACCCGTCATAATGCCACGATGCAGTTTCTTAAATACCTAGTTTTAGGCGAACACACGCTCTTGAGTAAAGGGTTAACAAAACAGGTGGTGCCTATTAATTGTTAATTGATTTTGGTGCTTGATTGCTCTTTACCTTATCACGGCCGCCATAGGAGTCGATAATATCACAGAATTCGCTCACGAACTTTGATGTGCTGCTCATGTTGGCTATGCTTAAAGGCCAAGTAAAAATACCGTTTTACAATACCAAATTAGTCAAACGCGCAGCGAAATGAAATAAAAGAAACAGAAACTGATCGGGAGCGGGAGGAGCAACAATAAAACAATAACAATCGAACAGCTGTTGTTGATATTGTGGCAGTCGATAGCCATAACCACATCGATATTTGCTTTGTCGGCGTATCGGTGTCCCATCTCTACTGTGCTAAGATTTCTTCATATTTTAACCATTGAATGCAGACAAACTTGCACAAAAACATATTAAACAACAAAAACAGCCATCAAGCTAAGGTTGTAGAAAAAAGAATGAGCAAACCAAAACAAACTAATTTGGCAATAACAAAATTCAAATCGTTACGTTACGCACGCTACACGGAAATTATGACGTAAGGAAATCTAATACATCGATAAATGAACTTACCATCGCTATGCAACTGCATAAAAATTATTAACTTTAGCGGCCCAAATCAATTTCGGTTCAATCATTTGTAATCAATCGAAGACGGGAACCACGAAAAACGGGAAGATACATTTTCAATGCCAACGATCGAGTAGAAGGAGCCTCTGGTCAACGGAAGCGACTGTCAAAGCACGCAACACTGATGCTTGCGTGAGGTGCAGGACAGGATCAGGATTCTTTGCATCGACTGCTCAAATATGAGTTTGCCCAATGCCAACATCAATAACAACAACAACAATAACCACGCGCACGCCTCTTCGCCCAACTACACTGGTGGCGCCGGAATAAAGACAACTGTAACCAAAAAATCCTCGAAAACCGATTTACTGCGCTGCGCCGTAGGACTGCTGCTGAAGCAGAAAAACTATGTGGTACGAGTTGTGCTGTTGCACCGCAAATCAATGTACTCTCCTTATGCTAATCACCAATCATTTTCACTTCCCCCACAGAGTAATGAGCGATTCCGCCGCTCGGACTTTCTCCTACTGCAAAACAAAAATCAGTTTGCAGTGAGCAAAATGCTTGAGACGGACCTGCATGGCGGCAACAGTTTTACCTACTCAAACGTTCAGGTGATCACCAACAACCAGCACATGGTGGACCAGCAGTTCGGACGCTTCTCGCAGTTCGTGGAGGCCCAGCCGGAGCCGCTGCGAATCGAGATGAAGCGCTTCTACGGGCCCATGCTGTGCCACTTCTACTTGGATCTGCTGAAAGCACGTGAAGCTAAGGGCGCCGTCGAGCTGCTGAGAAAGTATGCACATCTGGTGGCGCCGGTGGACATGTACGACGCCCCTTTGCCCACTAAGATCAATGGATGCACCAGCACAGAGTCAACCTTCCACATACGCTTTGCGCGGGAGGCGCAGGACACCGGCGACACGGAGCTGGACTACTTCATGAACCTGCTGCAGATACTCAGTGGCTGCATTAAGCTGGAAACTGCCGAGGCAGACGACATCGTGGCCCACTTTCGCTCCTCCAAGTACGAGCTGCACACCACATCTCAGGTTGTAGACAAGATGTGTGGCTATCTGCAGCGCCGTGGCCATGTGCTGATCATGAACCTGCTGTACACCTGGCTGCATGTGCAGATCGTGGAGAACGAGCAGCGTGTTTTCAGCGAAGATCATCTGATGGGACTGACAGACGACGTCGATGCGGACGATGTGGAAGACGCATCAGGCACTTTCAATATTCGCAGCGAGCAGAAGCCGGGAAAGTCCAGTGCAGAGAAAAATAGCAGAAAACGACCCGCCGAGGAGCCAACCGTCAAGCTGGAGAACGACATCAAGAAGGAGCCGGACGGCGATGAATTCGCAGAGACCACCCGGTCGCAGCTCAACGTTGATGGCTGCCTGGAAACCCTCAAGTCCTGCACATCTCAAGTTCTCAAGGCTCAGATCGAACTCCCGCGCTTCCTGAAGATCAGCGAGCGTACGCGTGGCCTCACCGCGGCTCATCTGGATGCCAGCGAGTGCCACATGGTGGCGGGGTTCGACAACTCCTCCGTTCAGCTGTGGCAGCTCAATCAGCACAGTTGTCGGGGCAAGAGCTTCTACAGACGCTACCCGCAATCGCAGTGCCCCTGGGAGCTCAACAACTGCGAGAACAACGAGGAGGAAGAGGATGAGACAGCAAGCAACGAGGAGAAAACTGAATGCACAGAGGAAGAGCGTCGGCAACGCAACAGGGCGGAACGTCTTAAATATGCAGACAATTCCTTGTAAGTGAAGCCTTTTTTCCACAGCTGAACAATTTCTTTGACCATCATTTTGACACACAGCAATGAATATGGCGGCCTGCAGCTGCGTGGTCATACCAGAGGCGTCACCGACGTACGCTTCTCTGCTCACTATCCGCTCCTGTACAGCGTCTCGAAGGACTCCACCATGCGCTGTTGGCGGGCCCACAACCTGCACTGCGCTGCCATATACCGCAGCCACAACTATCCTATTTGGTGCATGGACGAGAGCCCCGTGGGCCAGTATGTGGTCACAGGCTCCAAAGATTTGAGCGCCCGCCTGTGGTCCCTGGAACGCGAGCACGCACTCATTATCTATGCAGGCCACACGCAGGACGTAGAGGTGGGCTACCAACAAGCATTTTAGTCCTGTAAAAATATGCCTAAAGATCTGATTTGTTACAGTGCGTTGCCTTTCATCCGAATGGCAACTACTTGGCCACTGGATCCGCAGATCACTCGGTGCGTTTGTGGTGTGCCACCAGCGGCAAGCTGATGCGTGTGTTTGCAGATTGCCGCCAAGCAGTGACCAACCTGGCGTTCAGTCCCGATGGCAAAATGCTGGCCGCCGCCGGGGAGGAGGCCAAGGTGCGCATATTCGATCTGGCCGCTGGGGCACAGCTCAGCGAGCTGAAGGATCATCCGGCACCGGTTAGCTCTTTGGCTTGGAGTCCACACAATCAGCATTTGGCCACAACCTGCAGCGATGGCAGCTTGAGGCTCTGGGACATCAAGAAGCTCACTCCCATGAGGTGGGTATTTCCATTTGCATTTCCGAATTGATTTTCAATGAGTTTCTCTTTTTTCCCACACACAGTGAGAACAGCAGTGGGGGATGCTCCACCTCATCGACCTCTTACCTATCGGGCACATCGAATCGTCTGTTAGCCATGAATAGTTCCTGCCAGCGGTTGGTCGATGTGTTCTACGGAAGCAGCAAGACGCTCTACTGCATTGGAGCTTAATCGAGAACAAATGAATTTCCAGTTCCAATGTTTTATGCTTGAAAATAATTTATTTGTAATAAGTCTGTATAATATTACTGTTACTATTATGTGTATGTGTGTGTTTGTGTGGTGTTCAACAATTGGTTTCCTCCTTGTCTCTGTTAGGGGGGGGCGGGTTGTATTCTATATACTATAATTTATCCCATTATATTAACAATTAGTGTGATCGTTCGACTCCTTTCAAATGTCAGCAAGTCGCTGGTCGGCCATTGAGCTACTGATTACTGACTGATTCATACAATTTCCCTGGCTTACTAGTGGAATAAAGGACCTTTGATTATAGCATTAGGTTTATAAATTTCGATTAACATGTGGGATTAACATAGATATATATACAATTTTGAGTCTGAATCTGAAACGGCCTGGAACCACCTCTTCTCCTCTGTTTGACTTTCGACACTCGCACAGCCCTCTGGGACAAACGAACTTAAATTTAAAATTTTACTTATTGACAATTGAGTTTAAAAAGATCCAACTACTAACTTGAACATAATCGAATTTCTCCAACAACAAAACGTTGACTTACAATAGCTATAAATGAAACTTAGGAGCTATAGTACACGATAGAATTATCCAAGGGGATAGAACATGAATAAATAAGAACGTGAGCGGTACCGGATGTTGCGTGCCGCAATCGAATCTCCCCTGAAGAAAAGAAAAACCTGCGGCCGCCGCGTTACACTTTGAAGTTAATGATGTGCTTTCTTGAGTATAAGATTGATTGTAACATTGTAATAGCTGCCCCATACTATTCCACCTTCTATCTCTTGTGGCGTCCGCGCATAAACTGCAAGGTCTTGGCCATCAGAGGGGCCTTTTTGGGTCGCATCGGAGCCACAGCTGCAGAAGGAAAAATTAAGTTAGATCACACAAAATTCGCACTTCCCAATTCGCTTACCCATTTGCGCCGTGTCACGCCCGGCACCCAGTACTCGCAGTCGGGCATCGCCCACCTTGGCCGCATTGGGCGTCACACTGGAGAGGGCCGCCACTCGGGCGGCTGGTGTGGCTATCATTTTGCCCCTGGTGCCGTACTGCTCCTGCTTGCGTTGCACGTTGCGTGGTGGCTTTACCATCGAGTCTACGAATGCCAACTGAGTTTTGCGCACTGGAGCCTCGCTGATCTTCTGCGAGGCCCGGATGCTCTCCGCGAGTATGCTGAGCTTGCGATCCTTCTCCTCTTGGCAGCGCTGCAAGGGAAAAAATCGTAGCTTTATGTTCGTTTTTCAGATAATGATAGGTCGGTGCGTACCAAGAACATTTCACGCCATGTCTCCATCTCCTCACGCCTCTGACTGCGACAGTTGCGCGTGACATGCATCTGCCATAGGATATCGCTGTCTTCCATTAGATACGGATTGTACTCCTCGAAGTTTAACAGCTGCTGAGGCGTTGCTCTCTCCAGAACCGGTCGAAGTACCTCAAAAGGTACGCCACCGGTGTACTCCAAGGCTGTCAGACGACAAAATAAAGTTATCAAAGACCAAAGACCAAAAACAAAATATTATTTGTGTTTGGTAAGCAAAACTTGAAATACATTCAAGTCCATTCCGTCCACTTACCATCAATATTCTTCTGAAGGACGCGAGTGCACAGATCAAATAGTGAGGCCACCTGCAGAATTTGGCCAGTCCTCACACCTGAGTAGATCTTAGTGCTGCCGTTCAACCAAAAGATATAATCAAAAGGTTGATTGGTAAGAGACTAGAGGAAGTACCCACCGCATTGTTTTTGAGGAAATGCCTGCGGCCAGGGCCTCCGATTCGTTGAAGTAGCGCGCGGCAGAGGACTTGTGGGATCCCCCGCCATGGTTGAATACCACATCCATGACCGTCTGATTAAGGGGCAAGGGTTTGTAGTTGTTCGAAATGGTTGGCAGCTCTAGGGCAATGCTCGGATCCAGTGGCTCCAGCTTGGCGGTGGAGGCCAATAGCTCGGGTTTCTAAGCAAAGAGCATTTTTTGAAGACTATCAATGGTCGGATCTATGAGGGATTTTTGGCAAATTACTTTGGTAGTGACGGGTCGGCTGCTGCTGGAGGAAGCCTCCCTGTAGGATGGTGCAACAGCTGCTGCGGCAGCTGCTGCTGATGATGTTGAGGAAGTAGAGGCTGCTGTGGTGTGTGGCTTGACCACATGCTTCGCTTTGAAGCTGATTTTCTTGCTGCTGCTCATGGGCATGTTGAGCATGCCGAGAACGTCATCGAAATTGGCTCCCATGCTGGAGTCAAAGCCATCCACAGACTCCTCTTGACCGGTTATATCTTTGGTCGTTTTGGTTTTCGCTATTTTGGGCTTGGGTGTGGCGAACTCCTCCTCTTGCTGCTGCGGGCTGTGATGTCGCTTGGATGACTTGGACGATGAGGAAGATGACTTGTGCCTATCCGATTTACCTTTCGGCGTTTTTTGATCGAAGTGTTTAGGTTTTTCTTTATCCTGAGAGAAGCATAAGTTAATGGAAGCACTATGACGATGGTGTCAATGGTAAAGGCCTCTTTCTTACCTCTTTCAAGCTCTTTTCGTGCTTTGATTCGCTGTGTTCTTTGTCGCTTTTGTGACTCTCGGATTTGCTGCTGTGGTGGCTGGTGCTGGTGCTGTTCCTGTGGCTGCTGCTGCTGCTGCTGCGCGACTGTTTTGATGAGGACGAGTCCTTAGTCTTGTGTTCGCCATTCGATCTCTCGTCCCTGTGCTGCTTGGACTCCTTGTGGCTCTCCCTTTCCTTGTCCTTTTCCTTGTCCTTGTCCCTCGACCTATCATGGCGGCTACTCTTGTGTTTCTTGTCCGATTCCGACTTGGAGCTCTTCGAGTGATGCTTACTGCTGCTGCTTCTCTCGGACTTGCTCTTGGAGCTGCTCTCGTCGTGCCGGGACTTTCGCTTGCTGCTGCTGTGATCGTCGTCGCCGCTGGATGAATTGCTGCCTTTGTACTCCTGTTCCTTGTCATCCTCACTGGATCGCCGACCATTCGATTTTCCCGAATCCTCCTCGTGGCTTGTGTTTGCCGTTGCCGATGGCGTTGGCTCGGCGGGCTCCTCCTCGGCGGCCACCATGGCCTTCCATCGTGTGACTAGAGTGCGGGCGGCCACCCCAACCTCGCCGTTGAATTTTCGCAGGGCATTCACAGTCTTGCCAATGCCCGTCTCCTGCAGGTGCTCGAATTTGATGGGCAGATTGAACAGCTTTGTGATGCAGTGCATCAGCTGGGGGCGAACATATTTTTTCAGATGATTAGAGGTTAGATTAGACCCTAGCTTAGGGTCTAAGCCATGCGGCAGGTCTCTAAAATGTTTTAACATTTCGCAAGAAAATGAAAGGGACCAGGTGCACGACCCCGACGACTTACAAAACTAACATCAAGCGCTATGTATAGGTGAGGGTAGGGGACACAAACAACACACACACGCAAACACACACCAACACACACACACACTTACCCTCTTCTCGTCCTCGCCGTGCCTCTCGATGCTCCGCTGATAGTGACGCACAACATCGACCAGATTGTTTGTGGAAGTCATTGCCGTGAGAGGATCGAGGTGCTGCTGGCTCTGCTAACGTGAAATTGCTTATTCACTTTTCTTTTCGCTTCTCTTCTGCTTCAGAGACCACTTTCTTAGACCCAACAGAAAATTGGCACGCAAGCAGCTTCGTCAAGAGCTATTTGCACGGGGTTTTAAAACACGAAATATCAACACGAGGACACACAGGAGCACACACAAAAAATGCCCTTCGGGGCAGCGGCTATAGCGAATCTGCTATTGTTTTAAGTACATTTAGGCTGGCAAAAATGTAAATTTACTATTAAAGTGCTGGCTGGAAGAGCCATTCACAACGATTTCTGAAGAAATTGGTATGACATTCACAGCTCAGATTCGCGAACAGCTGAGACAAATCGATGTCATACTGTCGCGTATCGTTAACCAAGAATACGTCATGTTACCAGCAAAATAATGCTCTCAGCCCACAGACAATGGCTTAACTACAGGGATTTATAATTTACTGTCTGGGCTGAGAGTTTAGGCTGGATAGTGATACTAAAAAGAAGATAAACACCGAGGAAAATGTTTTAGGATTCGGTATATTTACAGTAGGTGTATTTTGAAAATGAGTTTTTTTGGTATATTATTGAAGGTTGTGCGTCTGTTTGTATCGATAAGCGGGCACACTGGGGTCCTTCAACAAAATATAAATTTTAAATTTTATTTTGTTTCCCAGATTTACGCTGAAATGTCTGACGACGAGTACGACATATTTAGCTCCTTGCGAACTATTAATCGCGTTAAAGGTAAAGCAACTAAATGCATATAATTCGATGGATTGATTTAACAAAACAAATGTTTCCTTTTGCAGTTCCTCCCAAGGAGGCTTATAGTCCGTCGAATGAGTCGTTCTCCAAGGAGCTGGAGGCTGAGCTACTTGATGAGCATTCCACTACCAAGAAGACCAGCAAAGCCAAAGTGAATGATACAACCACAGCCCCGACCAAGAAAAAGGACCGCAAGGGCAAGAAAAACGTCCAGCAAGATGAGAAGCCGCCCATAGGGGAGGAAGCAACAGGCGGACAAGCAAAAGAGCCGTCACGTTCGCTCTCCCCCGTCTCCAAAATGTTGTTTGAGCTGGAGCAAGAGAAGGCTAAAGCAGAGGAAGAGACGTCTGGGCCCGTGGCCAGACGTACCCGCTCCTCGCTGGGCAAAGTGGCCAATCAACCCGAGGTCAAGCAGCCATCACCGCCCAAGCGGAAAAAGTTGACAAAAAAGAACGACAGTAAATCCAAGTCTGACCAAAGGCAGACCACCATATTGCAATCTTTCAGTGGGACCACTTCCATTCCAATGCCCACCAGTTGGCGGCAACGGATGGCAGAGCTAGCAGCGCGATCACATGTTGTGGATAACATTGACTTGGTATCTGCTGTGTTACCACGTGTCGAGGGTTTTGTAAGTAATTACCAAATTGTGTGTGGAATCGATTAATATTATTACTATCCTTTTGCCGTAGGTGAATCTTGACTCTGACGATGAGGCCGAGGGCTCGAAACCAGTGGAGGAAGCACCTGTTGAATCTGAGAATCCACCCATGGATATAGCCTTGTCCTGGTACGATATTGGTAGAAAAATGATCCTAGTCTTATTCCTACAGCATGTTTTCCGATCTTGCCCATAGGTTGGGGGAGATACAGCACTACAAGTTGCGTCAGCATCGGAAATTTTTGCACATGTTCAAGGAGGTGGCCGAGCGCAATGGCGTGGATGTGGACGATATTGTGATTGACAAGTACGACACTCTGGTAGAGCCCACCGATACGCCCCACAGCATTGGCCTCATGAAGTTTCACACTCTGAGTAAGTGCTCCTTGAATCAATAACCCATAGAGACATCTCATCTTTAATTACCCATGCAGCAGGTCGCGCAATGAAGTCGAATAATAGCCACAAGAACGGGGCCGCCGCTTCCTCCGTTGTGTTAAAGAAAGCACACAAATTCCAGTTGAAAGTTCAGGGTGATGTGTTCAAGCGGCCCATTCTGATAGGCATGAAGAAGAAGGATGTCTTCAAGGAACTGTATCTGAAGTGTGCCGACGAACTGAACTGTGATGTCCATCTGGTGAAATTATTGTAAGTAAATCGTTGCTGGATGCTGGAAATATGACAATATAATATAACGCCTGATTTGTAACAGCTTCGATGGAGAGCTACTGGATCCCGAAGATACACCCAAAGCCCAGGGTATGGAAGGCAACGAAATAATTGATTTGCATTTGAAGACCTAAAAGTGTTAGCCCCATAAGTTACAGTATTAATATTCTATTGATTTGAGTTAGTTTAAATTTTGGTTTAATGATGTGATTTTGTATTGTTTTTGTTTAAAGAATAAGTATAGCTTCAACCCCAACCCTCAAGCATCCATGCCATGCACCCCTAATAGTACATTACTTTGTTTATCTAGCACAGACTCGTACGCCAAATCTCGGGCAGAGTCTAGCGCGAATGCTGCTGTCGGGCTTTCACATTTGCGGGGGGGTGGCACTTGGGGTGGATTTGTTGTTGCGCGGCGTTGGGGTGGTGTTTGGAATAGTTTGAAAGCCTCATTCTGCCGGCTTTCCTCTTTCTCTCTCTCTCTCTCTCTCTGGCTGAGGTTGTGGCTCTCCCTTATCCTTGTGCAGTTTCCCCTGGAATTTCGCTGCAGAAATTATGACACAGGACCAAAGAGGAAACTCTTGAGAGAGCAAATGCAAAGCTCTCTCTCTCTCTGGAGAAAAGCTCTCTCCTCTCTCTCTCTCGCATTGAGTTTAGTCAGCTGCCAGTAGATTTTCCGACTCGTCGTTTCCTTTTCAATCAGCAGACAGAAAGAGTTTATCCTTCGTGCTTGATGGACGCCTTTTGTTCGCGCTTGTGCAGCCTTCAGAGAAACCAACAAATATCATTTTCAATCGTATGAAACTCATTGTTAGCATTGAGCATTGTTTCGTTTTCCAATTTGTTTGCCAGCCCCCCCCTTGCGCTCTCGCCACCACCCCCCCTACATGCCAATGTCAATGTTTGTGTGTGAAAATAAACGTGAAAAAGTCAAGTGAATATTCTCCCCTCCATAAAAAAGTGTCGTGTTAACCCACAGCCCCCCACCATATCATACGAACGAGTATTTGTGCATATATTTGGCGCCCAAAACTGTCGAAGTAAGCGAAGGATACTCCCTACCCCCCAGGCAGGCGTTGTTGTGACGATTCTTATAGGTAAAGCATACTGTACGGTAGATATTATGCTCCCGGCTATGGTCCTCCCACCCCACCCACTGCTGACATTGACAGTGACTCTGACAAATGTGTTGGCCATGTTTACTTGGTGGCTTAAACAAGTTAATTGCCGTGCGCCAGACACAAAAACCAACAACAAGGCAACAAAGCACCTCCTGCCACAGCTCCACATCCACATCCAACTCCAACTCTACTCTTTGTCTCTCTCCCCCTCATGCTGTGTCCTGCTGCTCCCTTTGGCCCGTGGCGGTACATGTGTTCATCAATTATTCAGGCTGATTGTTGGCATTAAATATTAAAGGATGGCTCTGCTGGATATGCGCTGCTTATGAGAGAACCAACCAGATCGAACCAAAGAACTACTCGCAGCGAGAGAGAGAGAGAGAGAGAGAGAGAGAGAGAGACCCTTTAGTGCTAAAAATAAAACGTGACACCTGCAAAAATGTGCCTCAATGTACGCACCATCCAGCCCCCAGATCCCAACCCATTCCAACCTGCACAGGCTAATGGCCTTGGCTGGCTGGCTGGCAAGGCATTACTAGTTAAGGGATTTGGCTTCAAATGGGACTCGGAGGGCCTCTCGATTCTGCTCTGATTGCTCTGTCAGCAATCGAATGCTGCAGCATGTTGATTGGCCCGCAACCCACACCCACTCCCTTCCGCCTGCCTCCTGCTGAACGACCTTCAAATTGGCAGCATGCAGCATTCATGTAGCATGTATCCTAATTAATAATGCCAATTTCCCCCTAAAAGCTCTCCCATCCCAAGACATGGTCAGGAGTGCAGAGCAATTCACAGAAGTGCATGGAAAATACATATTTACATACATATTATGTACATGCTTACATACTGTAGAGGGTAAAAGAGAAGATAATGTAATGGGGGTAATATTATCTGTATTATTAATCAGAAATATATCTAGAAAATATGGCTGGTCTTTTGTGCCACAAATGTGGCTGTGGTTTGCACATTTTTATGGATACTTCGCTGATTTTTGGTATGTTTAAACATAAAACCACTATCTAGCCATCAACCAATAATCACCGTGATTGGGTAACAATAACAGTCGAAATATGTACACATCTGTGTACCAGGTCCGCTTTTTTGTCAGGCTATTTATAGCCAACGATGCGACAGACCGGAAGTAACGTAAAACGTAACAAATGACACTTTGGGGCACAATTTGCACACGTGTCGCATACGCAGCACACATGCACAGAAACGTTCTCTTAGGTAAATGCAACAACACACACACACACACACACACACACATGCTATGTATATGCCACGTTAACATGCCTCGTTGCCTGTTTTTTTTGGTTGCATTGTCCTGTGCCCTGTCCGACTCTTTGGCCCTGGACATGTTGTGTGTCCAGTCGTTTTTCTGGCCTCTCCTTGGTCGTGGTTTTTTTTTTTTCATTTGTGTGCAATAAGCAAAAAACAACATGGAAGAAAATCTCAAAACAAACTGACGCCATTTTGCCATTAATCCCGACCACTTTATGGCCAGAAACAAACAAACAAACTTGCCGCCCTCCCCTCACCGACCCCATGCCATGCAGTTTTGATACCCTAGCATTTGGATGCGGTAGCTGGCAGTCATTTCGGTTTATGGAGTGCACTTAGCAGCAGTCAATGTGGGAGAATATATCCACCAGTCTCTGCTTCAGCTGCTTACACCTCACAATGTAAAGATGGTCCAAGCCCTGCCTCTACTTTTAGTCCAGGGTATAGCCAATTCGTAGCTAAAAGTCAGACATATGTATTCCATTGTTTGGTCTATTCATTTTGGGTTTTGCTGGCTCCTTTATGCTGTTTGAGTTGGCCCCAGCCCTCAGATCCAAAGTTGGTTAATGGTAGCAATGGCTGAAAGGTTTATAGCCCGTCCAGCTACCATTTCCCGTTTTCCATTTACCATTTGCCTGGTCGTAGCGCAGTTCCTTTATTACGTTGTGTGTTTTACCAACAGCAAACACAATTGCCCTGCCCTGGCCCCAGAACCCGTACTCGCCTCGACTTTTGTTTCAAGTGCTGCTGCTGCTGCTGCTGCCGTTGCTGCTCCTGCCATCAAATGGAGTGGCCATTCCCTTCCACGACTCTGCAATTCGGACTCCAGTGCTCCATTTAACTGGGTCTCGTGGTGGTTATGGTCGTCGTGCATTGAACTGCTCTCGGTTACCTCTTCGATATTTTCTTACAGCTTGCTCCCTGTTCGGGGCTTCGCCGTCTCCTTCTGGGGCTTTGTGGCTGGTGGCTGCTGCCTCTTGCAATTATTGTTGCAAGCCTCCAACCCAGACCGCACCCTCCTGGGTGATCCTCTTCACATTTGATGTGCATTTGCATTTACGTGGCCCCCAGGCTATCGAATGCTTTTTAGTCCACGACATTGTCATTGTTGTTGCTCCCTTCTATTTTATACACTTCTATTTTTGCGCTTGCCACAAAGACCACTCCCACACGGAGTCCATGGAGTCCGAGTAGGAGAGCTTTTATTAAAGTTTTTTCGTATTGTTTGCCTTTCACAATGTCTCTCCTCTGGCAGCGACACCCGACCGACGGCCAGAAGTGGCACTGTGGCATCAGTTGCAGTCTGCATCGTGCCACAGCCAGCACAAAAACACACAGCACAGATTCCCAGAGCTCCTTCTTGTTCTCCTTTGTGTGTGCCTTCCTGCTTGTGCTTCCACAGGAAGCGGCAGCCTAACAATAACTTCTAGAACTCTGAATGCGTTGGCAGCATTTCAAATAGTAGTACAAATATTTCTTATTAATTTTTGCTCAGCTAAATGGCACTGATTCTCCACAGGAGAGGAGAGTGCCAACCCAGCAGAAAGAGAAAGACGAATTTAAGCTAAAGATATTTACCCATAATTCTCTTTACAGACTCTACAAGAACCACTCGAACGACAAACATACTCGTAAATGTGTAGCGAACCAGGAACTGGACCAATTTTTAATCAAAAGAAAGAAACAAAAAACACAGAAAAACAATCAACAATCTACTCACCGACCTCTTGCTAGACTTCTACATAATATCTACTCTATATATACACTTATACTCGAAGTCCATCATTTGGGAGAGCCTTTTGTAACGACTACTTTTGGATAAACATATCTTCAGGCGAAATCGAAAAGCCCCAGACATTAGCCAGGAAGAGAGGAGAGAGGAGAGAGGAGAGAGGAGTGTGCCCCGTCCAACGTTCAACGTTAACCCCCCATTCCCCCCAGGAAGTGTGAGCAGAGAAAGCATCCAAGACGGCGCCGCTTAAACCGCAAGCCTACATAATTGGTCGAATGTTATGTTGTGGCTTCTGTTGTGGCAACATGTCGAAGCGGGATTACAAAGTTGCCACCACGGATGGCATCGAGCTGGAGCCGTTGGGCGGCGAAAAGAGCGACAAGGAGAAGGACAAGGATAAGGAGAAGCAAACGAATGGCGTTACCTTTGGTAAGTGTCCCATCTTAGCAGCCATCCCGTATCCTCCATGTCCTTTATGTCCCACTGCATTGCAATTGCCTGCGGGGACACCTCTTCAGATGATCAAAGCAGGGGGGGAAAAGTGCATAATTGCACTTGTGCATAATCCAACGCTCCACACAATTTAAACTCCCTTCTCCGCCTCGCGTTCTTTTCGTTCTTTCGTCCTTTGTGCCTGCCAATTCGTGGCGGTGCCCCTCTGGGATTTATTCATCAAGTTGTTTTCTTAATTACGCCAAATGCAAAACAAAAGCATTACAAATGCGACTCGTCTTCGCCGTCGTCATGCCACCTCCTCCTCCTCCTGCCAACCCGTAGCAAGCGGTTACTCATACGCCCCGTTGAACGCCCTGCCAGACCGCAGGCGAACGCAAAGTAAATGAATGTCAGCAAACGTCCCTACCCCCCTCCAGATTTTTCGAGATGTTTTTTACCCTGCAAAATGAAAAGTGCACGGGTAGATGGGTTTAAGCTGGTGGGAGATAAAGTTGATGGAACCCATAAGGGTCGCCCAGCAGTAAAGTAGGAAATTTGCTGTTTCTGGTAGAAGTTTCATCTTCAGGTGGAACTACCGGGTATCCTGTAGTCCCATATTAGCAATCTTGAATCTTCCTATTTCGTCTCTTCGTTGGATATTGCCAGTGCCTGCAGCAACGTGGGTTGAATATTTTGCCGCTTTGACAGATGTCCACCCGATCCGGTGCCCTGCTCCAGATGGCAAAGGGGCCACAGACAGAGGCGGCCAGAGGCAACAACAGGACAGGCCAGACTGGCAGGCTGTCTGGGGGGTCGATGGCTGCTGGGTCCTCCTCTCATGCTCTTTAAGCTGTCAGCAATTTCAGGAATTTTGAGCTTTCGATTGGGGGTTTGTTTCGGGCTGAAAGGCACCCCAGGAGGGAAACCTCAATTGCGGTAATAATATGCGCCAAATGAAGGGTTTGTCTGGGATCGATTAAATAGATAGACACAAACAGTGAGGGAGAGAGAGGGGAGTGGTTTAGTGTCATATTTAAACATACAACTGATGAGACGCTCTATAGAACATTCATTTAAATAGCTAAATTTGCAGTAGTTTCCACTTTCACAGCCCTAAATCCATCGTAATCATACTTAAATCTTTGCTTATCCCTTTCCAATCGCCTCGCTGCACGCGGGGTCTCGGTTCGGCCATCAATATGCGTATCTGGCGACACGTTAAACACAAACATATGCAAATCATGTTGACTTTATCAAGGCGACACATCGCTGCCACTTGGGCATGCCGTGGGCCAAAGTGGGGCACAAGAACGGCGCCAGTCGGTCGCTCCCTCTCAACAATCCCCTCCTCAGCCACGGGGCGGCAAATCAGTGTCACGGGAACAGGACGTGGACGTGTGTGCTCGTGTCAGGCTCAGGCTCAGGCTCAGCAACAGCCTCAACAACAGCCTCAGCCTCAGCGAAGCAATTAAGGATGCATAAAGTGGAGTAACCACTTGACTCAACGCCCCACCACACAGCCGCAGCAGCAGCCACAACTGCCACGTGGATACGAGATGTTTACCTGTGACGTAATGTGGTTTAACCTTTCTACGGGTCACTCTACCCCACACATTCGATAAGGGAATACAGTATCTGAATGAAGTCCATTCTAGAAGTTCTCTCTTTATCTGAGAGTTTTGTAGTTTTCTTGTTCAAATATGGCAAACATAATAAGGAAATGTTTTCCTCAGAACACGACTCTTATCCAACATCCAACAAGTGCTGAAATCTCTCACAGAGTTCCTTAAACTTTGCTTGAGTTGCCAAGAAGTTTGCATACTCTTGGGCCCATGTAAGGGTTAAGCAAGGAGGCGGCTGCTGACGTTGATAATTGCAGGATGCGTTGCGTTGATTGCAGCCTGAATGGGGCTCTGCCATCCATGCATCATCCACACACACACACACACACACACACAGAGTCGCTTCGAGCACTTGAGGCTGGGAGGCTTGACTCGAATAAAGAATTCCTGCTGCCTATCCGGGAGTGCATCAGCGAGATAAAATGGGTCCACAAGGAACAATTGAAGTGGCTGGCTCTCCCTTCCTGCTCTCACTGTGTCCACGTGCAAGAGTGAAAGTAAAGGATACATAGAAATGAAATGTGTTTTTGGGTCAGGCAACTTCAAACTCACAAGAGTCGGAAAGGAGCGGAAAGGAAAGCAAAGCAAATGCTTCGGAATGTGGCAGGAAGAAGGCATCGGGCACTGGCAGGCGGCGAAAAACAAATGGCAAATGGCAAATGGAAAATGGAAAATGGAAAACGGCAACATTTGCTGACTGACAAGCGCAGCCGAGCCGGGCCAAGTCAACCCGTCAAAACGTCAGTGCGAGCAACAATTTATTGTTGCGAAATGGCGCAGGCAAACACACAATTAAATGCAACTACAAAGGACACACAACGATCCCCCACTCCTGCTGGGCGCGTAAATTAAATGGAAATGGAAAATACTGCTAGCGGCCTGGCACTACTCGCTCTCATTTCTGCTGCTGCTTCTGGTACTTGTTGAGGGCCTAGGCACTTGAGGCCTTGCCACAGCCACAGCCACAGCCACAGCCACGAGCACATTTGGTTTTTATGGTTTTACATGTACCATCGCCCAGAGAAAAGGGTCTCGTCTCCAAGAGACAATTATGGCACCCTAATTTGACAAGGGAAAGGAATGCTACAAAGGAATGTTCCTCAGGGGGAACTATTGTAAGCCTTCGTTTATTGATTCCTTTACAAAACATTTAATAACTGTGCAACAATTCAATCAGAAATGTAATCAATCAATTACCCTCTTCGTCAACCCCTTCTTGCTGGTAGTTACGGGTATCCAACCTCCCCTAAGCTGCCCCAAGCTGAGGGGCTCTGGTGACTCCCAGGGGCTCTGCTGTGCTCGGTTTCTGCACAATTAGTTTGCCAACAAGTCGGTTGTGATCCGCCTGAGTTGATCCCAATGCCAATCCCTTGCCATTCATATCGCCTTAACCCTCTCTGGTTAACCCTCTCGAGTTGAACTTTTTCCGATTTGCATTGTTTGCATCTGTAATGGGGCCTACGAGTGGCTCTCGAACACGGTCTGCCAATTAATTTAATCATGGCAAATGCCTCAAATTGAGTGTGCAAATACGAATATACTCCCGCTCCCCGCAAATATAACTCATTTCCATATCAAACAGAGTGTGGGAAAGATGAGAGAACTCCAAGATATTGTGATATGGTTGATTTATTCGAGATTTATTTCCAGTTCTTCAAGCGCTTGCAGGGGTAGCAGACTTAAGGAGGAAGGCTCCTGAGATTTGGGGACCATGATTGGAATACTAATTGTATCAACCTATAGAAAGAATGATTACTGGCTAGCCCGTCTTTTATGCTGAGATTGTCAGGGATGAGCACTGTGTCCAAGTTCAGCAAATGTTCAGAACTTTTGTTACGATAATACTCTGAAATGTAAAGTGTAAATCTTTTCCCAGCTCATGTCTGTTAACTGTGGCAACTTTGTGTAGCAAAAGCCAAAAGCGAGAATCTTCGATTGCATTCGATTTTTGCCACATTTGCGCATTTAGTGACCGCATCGAACAAGCCCTTAATCGAGCAATTACAAGGTTTGACTGCCTCCCCCAGTGCCAGTTCCCAGTGTTCACCCTCAGGCCACATAGCACACAGCAGTGGCAATGGCACTGGCATTAAGAGCAGCGGCAGTAACAGCTTAAATTTATTGATTGTTTCATAAACAGCGATTATTTAACCACCGTATTTCGATGGGCATTGCCATTCTCCCTCTCATTCTCCACCCATTCCCTTCCCCAAAGTCTGTCGAACGGCAAACACTTGTGGCCATCTTTGGTGTGTGTGTACCACCAGCTAAGGTCCCAAGGCAACGGGCTCCAGGGAGATGCTCCTTCAATTCCACACACATGGGATCAATACAAAATACTCGTACTCGACCGATGCGTTGGGGGCGAATGGTGCGGCACACGACAAGTCACAAGTGCGGGCAGTAAATTTGCATGCGACAGCAAATACTCAATAGTCGGGGCAGCCCAGGGTGTTGAGTAACTCGGTTAACATGAGGTCTTGTTTGGCAGCGAATCGAAGCAGAATTGAGACCAACATTGAGGCAACATCGAATCGACTTTTGTCTGTGAACCCATTGGAAATGTGCTCCGCATGCAGTTTATTTCTGCCACCTCCCCCCAAACGCCCCCGGACTGTGGCTGGGTACAAGGAGTTTGTGGAAGTTTCTTTCCAGTTGAATATCTCTTTAAAATGCTTGAGAATTTTCATGAAAATTGTTCCCAACATCTAGGGGATGAAAATCTGTTCATTCTTGAACTAAAATCTGTGTGGATTGATCTGGATTCTAAATCGTATGCGATTATCACCTTGGAGTATCCTTTGCAGAGCATTCAAAATTTGTCAACGCTTTAATCTTGCCCAAAAAGTAGGCGTTTGATGGGGCGCGGTTCTGCCTAATGAACACGATTCACACAGAAGGGAACAACTTTAGACTAACGTGACGAAGAATTTATTGAGTTAAGCCGCTCGAATGGGGTGGTGGGGTGATGGGGCGGTTGCTGGAGGAGGCTGCGGAGGCAGAGCATCCCCATTTTTTCGAGCAAGTCACCGCGACCGACCTGTGGTGGTGTGTTGCTTGCTGCAAAAGTACCAGCCAAAGTGTATATGTATCCATTCGAGGAAAACTTTGACTTTCCGCTGAATTTGTCGCATTTACAAAACAAAAAGGAAAAAAAGGAAAAGAAAACTCAAGCCCAAGAAGTCGAAATGAGATTTCATTTGCCGGCAAAAGTTCTTAAGGAAAACCGAATTACCATTTCAGTTGAGGCGGCGGCGGTGGCGGCTTTTGTGCTCCATTTGTTGATTGTTTTTCCCAGTAAGTAACCAGGGAACTCTCTCTCTTGGCAACTCTCTCTTAGGCAGCACAAATCATCGGAATAGGAATAGGAATCATCAGCATCGAAGCATCGTAAAACTCAAAAGGCAGGGGAGGCTGGGGGTAAGGAGATAGAGTGACAGAGACTGAGATGAGCGGAAATGAAATGTTAAAGCACAGAACCCATCCCTTAGACCGAGAACTGTTCTAATGATGATCCCACTCCACGAATTAGTCGAATGGAATGGATGGGGTACACTATTTGCCCGAAAACACATGATAAACAACACTGCATTTTCGGTGGGGGGAAAGATATCTGTTTGTAGGTGGAAGCAGCAATGAGGGGCAGGAGGCAGGGCTGCTGCTGTTTAAGGGTTGCAATATTTACCGCTGGCTTTCGCTTGCCTGGCAACACTCTACGATACACTGTTGTTCCTTCTCTTTCTCCTGTTCAAAACATCAGAAAGGCAGAAGCAGGGGGCAGGGGAGCAGATCCATAGAAATTTCATTTTCATTTTTGCAGGTGAGCAAAATTTACTCAGAGAGAAAAGCCCAGAACGAAAACATACACGGGGAGCGCGAGAGCGAAAGCACACATGCGCCTGAACACCCACTAGGGTTGCACTCTCTCGCACTTACTCTCAGGGTTGGAGCCTTAGAGGACGACGCTCTGCAGGCGGCTAGCAGCAGCGGCAGCATCCAGTTGGAAAATGTACGCGCACTCAAACGCAACAAAAAGCGCGTGACAAAACGGGAACAGAACCACACACAGAAGGCGGAAAGAAAGGCAGAAGGAAAGAAACAGCAAGGAATATTCGGCAAAAAGCACACACATACCCACACACACACACCGAAACGAATGCGTCGCGTGCTTCCCCAAATCTCCAATATCCCCATCCTACAACACCACCCTCTGCTGCTGCTGCTGCTGCTGTGCGTGTCTATAGAGTGAAAGAGAAAGAAAGAAGAAAGAAAAAAGTGAATAACGGTACAAATCAATTGCTGTAAATTAAAAGTAAATAGCAGTTTTTTGTTTGTGTGAAAAGTGAGGGGAAATTATTAATAACATTTATTTATTGAAATCAATGAAATTAGGACACGTACTTTCCCATTTGAATTCCGTATGCAATTCCAATTGGAATAACACCAATGCCAGACCCAACAAAGCCAGCAACAGCTCATCATATTTACAGGTACAATCGGAAGAATATAAGAAACAAGAAGAAGTAGCAGAAAAGTGGAGGGGGATGATCGGGAGAGCGGGGTGCTCAAATTTCGCCTCAGGAACAGAACTAATTGAGCCCACAAAAGCGAAATGGAATAATGAACGGTTCTGCTCTGTCGCCCCCTGCCTGTCACTAAGTGCGAGAAAGCGAGAATGCAGCTGAGAGCCAAAGAACCGCAATTCAGTCAAGTGTCAAAGCAAGCGGTGAAAAGGGAAAAAAAGGAGCAGCTGAACGGGGGAAAAAAAGCAAAAGGAAGAGTGAGAAGTAGAAGGCGAAGCAAGAACAGGAGTGGGAGAAGTGAAGAAGAAGCATGGATGAGGACTGGAAAGCGCACTATTGACATATATATGCGCGCATACAAAGAGAAGTGCCGCTGTCGCTTCTGCCACGGAGCGAGGAAAGAAAACGCGGCATAAGACAAAACAGGAAATTCACTTATACTGTCGTACTCCTACACACACGCAGTTGACGCATCAAAGAGGAAAAATCGCGCTGTTGAGCTATTTGCATTTTGACATTTTCATTTTCAAAACACCGATTCCAGCGCGAGAGAGAGCCAGATGGCTCTCTTTTTGGAAACTTCCATAACATAGCAGAAGCAGACGCTCTCTCGCTCTCTTAATGCCGCTCTAAGCTCCTTCGTTTTTTTTTTGCGTTTCATTTGTTTGTCCGCCAACAATAATGGCACGAATAAGGAAAAGGGAAAATGAGAATGTAAACAAATACATGCTGAATAGAAATGAGAGCGGAACACTAGTGTTGTGAGTCGAGGCATTTGATACCCTTTGCAGATTTATTGATATTATCCAAGTTGTAGTAGAACAGAAATAATTTGGATATAACCCCTAGGAAACTTAAAACTTAATCTTTAAAAATTTACAAAACGTCAGCTTTTGTATAGCAAAGATAGTGCGTTTGCGGGTGTAAAAAGAAAGGAATAAAGCCGTGCCGTATTGCTGCATCGGCAAAACACGTGAATAAGTAAGGAACTCTCTGCCAGAAAGGGTATGCACATATAATTAAAAGGGAATTGTGAAATGCATTAGCACGTTTCTTGCGTTCCCTAGCCATAATATGGCGGGTGGGGAAACGGGACAAATGTGTACTGTTGTTGCCTCAGTCACGAATGCAAACAAAGAGAGGCATAGAGAGAACACACTGTTTGCCACTACAATCATGTTCGCACTACGTTCTACTTATTCAACTTGTATTTTTAGGCCGGCATTGACATTAATAACTGTTTAAAGGGAGACATAACAATACATTTGTGCTGGTGTTGAAGCCTAATTGTACACATGTAAATACAATTCTACCGCAGCCTGGCCTGTGCTTTCCTACTACAAACGCTGTTTCAAAACAGTGCAAAAATTTTTATAAAATATCACGAACTTATACTAAGTAAGCTTCACGGACATGAAAAGCCGAAGTGGCTTTGCTTTTGTTTATACACATGTGCAAGCTCTCTTGCTTATTATTAGGGAGCTCTCTGAACGTGTGCACACGATTAAATTGTACTGATCCTTTAGTATCCATTTAAAAATGTTCCAAAAATTATATATTTTCTTCATTCAATGATCCATCTGTTGCTACCAGATGGTAGACTAAATATCGACCAAGACTATAACTGAGAATGCAACAACAATTTCTGAAATTGCAGCTGTAAAAATCGCCTCTCAGCTGCTCCGCTTGACCGTTCGAGGAGCCTCCAGGGAGCAACCCACTGATTCAAGGCCTGTGCTTTACCTGCAATATGCTGATTGGCAGAGGCCTGAAATCACCTCGTAGTTTTCTGGCTCATTCCCAGAGACATTTCTGGTATCAGAGACCTTAACCACGAATTATGTCTGGATGATGCTTCACGAAACAAACTCCAGGCTCAAGTGCCCCTCAAAGGCAGACACAGAAATGCAGTATTACATACCCTCGTACATAATACAAAAGCCGGCTAAACATAGAGAATGATAGAGAGAGATGGAGACACTTGAAAGAGGGATGGCTAGACATTTTGGGGGGTTGATTTTTGGGCGTTGAAAGCGCTTTTCACTAATTCAATGCGACATTGAAAATTGCGAAAAGTGCGGTGCGGCTCTGTCTGCGAGCTCTCAGGAGGGGGCGACGGAGGCGGTTGTGGAAAGGGTGCCTGCCAGACGATAGCGGACGTCTGACTAGACGAAACCGGAAGGGCGTCAGCTTCTGATGGCCAGGCCCAAAGAGGAAAGCGGAAAGGAGAAAATGCGCTCCAACGGAGCCAGCCAAGTGAGCAGGATGGGCAGGACCTAGGAGCCCCTCTAGATGACGGCATAAATTATGTATTTCTGAGAAGAGCTTCATTTTTTGGCAGTCGATTTATTGGTTAAAGGGTGTAAAAAACAGCGAAAAAGCATGTGCCTGGGGTGCCAGAATAAAATATGATGGGCACGTGGCTGCTGGTACGGACAGTCGCATGGGTCTGGTAAAGGGTTCTTTGGTTTCCACCTGATTTGGTCATAAAAAATGGTTCGTGATTTCCCATTTCCAGAGCAAATAGCCTGACAATTATTTGCGGTGTGTGTTTGCGGTTTGATTTGGTTCCGATCCGATACTGTTTCCGGGTTCGAGTACGATTTCGTTCACGGACACGGGCGAATAAGCGTGCGTATTGGCCGGAAGACATAGAGAGAGCGGCCCCGTTAAGATTTCGGTCGTCGGCGGTGGTCGGAGAGGCTCAAAGATTTGGCGTCGCGAGCGCATCGAAATGACAAATGATCCGGACCTCGATGACTGTGCATTTCTATCAGGTAAGCCGCTTCTCTTGGGTACAGTGCAGTGGTTCCCCGCTTCCTTCAGCAATTGCAATGCCCATTGAATGAATATTTAAGTAATCCTACACCCATTTTTTGTCCAGCACTCATTCAGTTTTTTAATTACATTTCGACAGGTGGCGAATCGAGTGGGGGCCGCCAGACGCGCACTGGAGTCGCCGTCTGCTCGCAGCGTCGGGCTCTCCTGGTGGCCGGGATCGTGCTCGGCTCCCTCCTCCTGACGGCCATCATCATTGCCTACGCTGGACCGTCGAACGGTAGGTTGCACCACGTCCATGTTTACCCTTATCCCCCATACCCCACATCGCATTTCTTTGCCTTTGGTTCTGCCCATTTTTTTGTCGAGAATTTCCCTTCGTACTTATTTCCATTCCATCCGCAACAAAACAAAGGAAGAATGGGGTTTGTGTGGTCGGATTTTGCTCGTTGGCGTCACTCGATTATCCCTTTTTGTATCACGAGTGCGCCACGGGGAGAGCTTTCTGAATAAATATAGAGAAAGAATAATGAACATTTGGCAGATGTAAGCGAAAGAGTTCGAGTCAGAAAAGTAAAGTCAGAAAATAAAGTATACTGTTCGACCTTAGGCTCCATAAAAGGACTGCGGCCTCATAAATCTCTATAAATTGTAATTGAATTCCGTTCCTATTGGCGGTCACTGCGGACCATAAACCAGCCGTCCAATCAACTTCAGGGCCTTCGCCCTTACCTCATTTGGCGGCATGTAATATGCTTTTAACCATATTATTTAGTGGAGGCCAGGCGGGAGGTATAAATAGACAGAGACCTCTGGCAGTTCCGCCCATGCAGGTGCAGGTGCATCATGTGACGACCTAAGCTACCACGCCAAAGGCCTCGACCAGAAACCGGAGTGTGGAGAGTGTTGTGGTGGGTTCTGCCGTCCCGGATTCAATTGCAGAATTATGCAAAGTGCAAACACATGCAAACTTTCTGTTGCATTCTTAATGGGGCTAAATGCATTGGGGGGCTAATTGCATTAACCCTGGGGGCGAGTTCGTGTGGGGGTTGTGTACACAGACAGACATATGTCTGGTTTAAAAGCCAGCCCTAACCCCCTTTGAACTCAGTTATCAATCAACATGTAAAGTTAACTTACGCTTCCGCAGCTTTAATTAGAGTATTGATACTCCCTTCCTACACATCTATACATATTATGCATATAAATACCATACCATATCTCCATCTGTAAGCAAACAAAAATCTGTATTGTTTTTATGTTTCCTTTCATTCTTTCCCATTTGACGTTTCTGTTTCCGTTTCTCCTCTCCTCCTCTCGTTACGTTTCCGTACACGAAACGGTTCCTTAACAAATCGTATAATATTCATAATATATGAACAAAAAAATATGAAATATTTCTCTTAAATGCTTGTTTGATTGATTGGTTGAAATGTGAGTAACAATTATGCCAAATACCCGAATACTTCTAAACTGGTAATTAATCACGACATTCTATATAAACCCTTCGGCATGTTGATGTCATTGATCATCTTTTGGTGGTTCCTTTTCCTTCAGTTATGTTATTATCTTTGTGTTCCATAGTCTCTTAAGTAATGTATATACGATCTCTAGATGTTTGATATTTAATCTGCTGGAATCATTCTAGAGCAGAATTCTGAGACAATTATAATCACTTGACATTCAAAATTGTACATACTCTACACCTATCCTCATAGTCAAAGAACATACATATGAAATGTCACAATAGTGTGAGAGTTCCCTAAGGACTCTATATATTTCCAATATATATAAATCTTCTTCAAATCTCTGCGAGTAAAAACAATTGCACTGCTCGTGTCAGCAGCAACTAAGTAACTTTAATTTGTACGTTCCATAAAGAGTAGACTTTAAGTACACTTCTCTTATGCTGCTAAGACATTAGACTTTACTAATTGGCTGTTGTTCTTAGAGCAGCCAAAATCACCACAGAGAAAACTCTTCCTGGGATGTGTTGAAAGACATTCATTGAGGCACAAGTAGTGCCTCAGTTCTTTGACTGATCGCCTAATGAAAGTTTAATGTCACACAACTTTTAGCAATAACAATAATTCCCACCCAAAAATTACCCTATTTATATGGTTATATACTTTGAATTATATCAAAATTGCAATGGTTTTTTGTTGTTGAAGCTTTTGTATGAATATTATTACCTCTGTTCATGCTGTAGATTTGTATGCTCATTTTCTTATAATTAATACTTGCCAATGGTTTAGATACATTAGTTTTCCCAATCATTTTGAACCCGGTGTGCGAAACGAGATTCGTTCGTGTTCCCCTCATAATCCGCTGAAGATTGATCGGCCTTCATGCCCCCACATATCGCGACATTCAGCCAGAAAGAACTCCATTTGTGATACTCCAAACTTGAGTTTTGTTTCCACCCTTTAGATGTGCTAATGACTTGAAACGAATCCAATTATGTAACTGATTGACTGCTAGCTTTTCTTTGATCCCCCCTAGATGATTTTTACCCCTAAACACCCACTCTCTATCTATATCTTTGTTGATTGTGTATAATGCAATTTGCTTTAAGATACCACCAAAAGTGTACCCCGGAGATGAGAAAGATGACTTATGCAGAACCCATAATGACTTTGCGCTTTGGCTGTCCTTTCAGACTGCTCCTGCGGGACGAAAACCGTGTCCGGCTATGAAACGGATGAAGAGAACAACACGCAGCCCTTCAATCCGATTGCCACCAACGGCGAGCCCTTCCCCTGGCTCGAGAAGATGCTGCCCACCAGTGCCCGACCCCTGCGCTACATGGTCACCATTCATCCCAACCTGACGACATTGGACGTCAAAGGTGAGGAGTCGCGAGTGCAATTTTCCCTTGATTATAATTAGATTGTCTGACTTGCATACCGCCTCCTCGCGCTCTCGCTCTCGCTCTCGCTCTCGATTTCCAGGCCAAGTCACCATCGATTTGCACATTGAGAAGGAGACCAACTTCCTCGTCCTGCACATCCAGGACCTCAACGTCACCGAGAAGGTAAGCACGGCAGAGCAGAGCCTTCAAATGAAGCCAATTAGGATCCGATTCGCGATTTGAGTTGAGTGCATCCATTGATTGGTTTTGCCATTGCCATTACAGGCCATTGTGACCCCTGGACCGAAGGGATACGCCCTGAAAATTGTCAAGGTGCTGGAGTTTCCGCAGCGCCAGCAGCTCTACATTGAGGTGAAGGAGAGGCTCAAGAAGAAGTCCAATTACACCTTGAATCTGCGCTGGTACTCGAAACTGAACCCCGAACCGGAGGGCTTCTATGTGGACCAGTACGAGAGCTCCAATGGTGTGGAAAGGTACGAGTATTGATGGGTGCCTGTCTGAGCAAAAGAAAAGAAAATGTTTCTGCAACGTTTGCTTACAGATTGCTGGCTGCCACCGTCTTCCGACCGAATGGCGCACGACGGGCCTTCCCCTGCTTCGACGAGCCGCATGTGAGGGCGCCCTTCCGCATATCCGTGTTCCGCGATCGCTTCCACATCGGTCTCTCCAACTCCATTGTGCACACCACCGAAGACGTGGGCTTCTACATGGGCACGGGATTGGTGAGTGTCCGAGAATACATCCATGGCATGGGATATGCTAAATGTTTGCTCTTTTCCCTGCAGCTTCGGGATGACTTCATCGAGACTCCAGCGTTGCCCGCCGATGCCGTGGCTTGGGTGGTGAGCGACTTCCAGCGTGAATCCCTGCAGCCCTCGGCCGCCTATATACCCACCACAGCGGCTCCCTACAGCTCGGGTGCTGGGGGCAAGAAGTCCGCACAGTTGAACAACTACACGCAGCTGAAGAGCAAGAACCCGCCTGTCCGCAACATCACTGCCCTGACGCACTCGCTGAACGTGAACCTCACGCCCCGCCAGAACCTCAGCCACATTGCAGCGGCAGCCACCACAACGACAGCCCTGCCCGTGAGCCTCAATGGCAACGGGAAGCCCACGAATCTCACCTCCCTGTCGCAGTCGACGAGCTCCTCCATCAAGCGAGCGCCGTCGTACACCTTCTATGCGCCGCGGGATCTGCTGGTGCGCTCTTCGTTTATACTCCACACATCGCGGGATGTGCTGGAGTACCTGCAGACGTGGCTGGACATTAGCTATCCATTGACCAAAGTGGACTTTGTGGCCCTGCCCTCGCTGGACCGCAACATGATCTCCTCGCTGGGTCTGGTCACGCTTAAGACCTCCTTCCTCACGGATCCCAGCTCCATAACCTCGGAGCAGTACCAGTTCAGTGCCCTGCGCATTGCCGAGGCCATGGTGCGGCAGTTCTTCGGTGGCATCACCTCCCGCAAGGTGCTCAAGGACGTGTGGCTGTGGGAGGGGCTCATCCAGTATCTCGGCATCCATGCCCTCGCTCCGCTCCAGCAGAGCTGGCCCCTGAGGGAGATGTACCTGCTGAAGATGGCCACAGCAGCGCTGGACATCGACGCCATCCAGGGCTGGGACAGCATCATGAACGGCACCAGCCACGATGGCAAGAACGAGGACTTCTTTGTCCAGAAGACGGCTGCCATCTTCTCGATGCTGCACACGGCCATCGGGGAGGATCGCTTCCGGGGCTGCCTGGGCTCCTTCCTCAAGGTGAACCGCTTCAAGACCGCAGAGCCCACGGATCTCTGGACCATCTGCACGAAGAAAGCCAACGGCTCGAAGAACATCAAGGACATGATGACCCTGTGGACCCACCAGCCCGGATTCCCCCTGCTCACCGTCACGAAAATGGGCAACAGCGTCTCCATATCACAGCGCCCCTTCCGCCCCGCCGACTTCCTAGCCATCCACGACGACTCCTACGACGGCAACAACTACAACAAGACCACTCTCAACGCCACCGACATGCCCAGCACAGTGGCACCCACGCCCCAGGGCAAGCACAAGGCGGCGGCGCCGCACATGAAATGGATCTTCCCCGTGACCTATGTGACGGACATCAACAATGTCAGCGAGACCCTGTGGATGCAGAATGTGGATAGTAAGTTGCTGACAGACAAAGCCCATTCAGGAGCAACTACCATTCATTCCCGAACATTCCCTTTTTGCAGTCAACTTCAATGTGCCGGAGAACGTCAAGTGGATCAAGGTGAATGCCATCCAAAATGGTTACTATCGCGTGGTCTACAACGACGATAACTGGGCAAATCTCATCGAGGAGCTATCCAACAATCCCAAGAGGTTCAGCAGCGAGGTAAGTGCAAACTTCAAGGCAGAGACCAGGCATGAGTTGAGAGATCATTTTCCGTGTAGGATCGTTTGGGTCTGCTGTCCGATGCCTTCACGCTGTGCCATGCCAATCTGCTGCCCTGCGAGATCACCATGAACATGATCCAGTATCTGCCGAGCGAAACGCACTATGGACCCATGGCTCTGGCTCTGAGGCATCTGGAGAAGTGGCGGCGGATACTCAAGTACTCCGAGTGCTTCCTGATGCTCAGTGAGTTCATCAAGATGAAGATCTCCACGGTTATGGAGAAGGTGGGCTGGACAGATGAGGGCGATGTGCCTGCCAGGTGAGAGAGATGCTTTTGAGTACCAATATAATATGTCTGATCGATTCCTTTGCCTTCAAGATTGATGCGTCCCGAGGTTTTGCTGGCATCGGTGCTGTGGGAGGACATTGACAGCATAACCAAGGCCAAGAACATGTTGAATCAGTATCTGTATTACAATGGATCGGCCATAGCGCCCAATCTGAGAGAGGTAATCTGAGAGTGGTGCTCAGAGGATAGCCGGGAGTAGAGCTAACAATTTTCTTTGCTCTTTATTCTTTAGGTGGTCTATACGGGCTCCATTCTCTCTGGGGAGTACATCTATTGGCAGCATTGCTGGGAGCGCTTCGTTACCCTACAGCGGACATCGGAGACATTCGTGGAGCGAATGCAATTGCTGCGCGCTTTGGGCAGGACTAAGGATGCCTGGCTGCAGAACCGCCTACTGTCGCACGTGACCATGCTGCCCACCGAGGAGGTGGTGCAGGTGCTCAAGGCGATTGCTGGCACGCCCACAGGTGGGGCCATGGCCTGCCGCTTCCTGCAGGCCAAGTGGTTCGAGCTGGAGAAGCGACTGGGACAGGGAACGATCAGCTTTGCCAAGGTGATCTCCGCCATCACTCAATACGGAGCCACAAAGTTCGACTACGATGAGGTATGGCATCGCTAGAGTTCTCTTTAATCTTTACAGATATACAGAAAGAATTTTTCGCTCTTTTCTTAGCTTAAATCTCTGGTACATCGCTTTGGCCGGGGCCAGGGCATGTCCGTGCTGAACATGACACTCAGCAGCGTGGCCTCCAATGTCGAGTGGGTGGCCCGCTCCCAGACGTCGCTCTACAAGTGGGTGGAGAGCAACCTGCACTCGCACCGCCGATAAAGGAACGAACCCCAAGGAAGAACGAACTTCTTCTCACACTCACATTTGTAATTATGTTCCTCTCAGACAGACGGATGATCTTCAGTGGATTTTGATTTCGCGTAAACTATGGATCTATAATCTATACCATATCATTGCCAATCTCCTTGGTTCTCTACTCTCAAACTCAACACACACACACACACACACACACACACACACACACACATACTATAATTTTAGACCCCCTTCGAAACGAACTCAAAAGTGTAAATTACGATCGCTTGATCGGGCAGTTCTTATATGTATGTTGTATGTATATCTATTCCGAATTGAGAAGAGGATACATTTTTCTATATCTACAACTGAACATTAGGGTCTATCTATACATGTATATTGTATATGTATATGTAATGTATATGTATGTATATTTTACAAACCAACAAAAACATATTTAGAGCAATGTGGGATAAATGTAGTTCGTAAGCAGAAGAAAGAAACAAAACACACAAAAACAAAACAAAACAAAACATATTTTTTCAGAAAAACTTAAAGAAAACCAACCCAAGATCAACTAAGGATTGCATTCTATATGACAAACAAAACAAACAAAAACAAAAACAAAAACACTGTATAGCCTGTATTTTATGTATATTAGTATTAGTGACCAGCGTGTGTATGTGCATGTGTGTGAGTGTAAGTGGAATATCACAACAAATCTTCCTTTTTGTCCAATCGAAATTAACTTACTTAATATTTAATAATTATCCAAGGGAAAAAATCCTGCCTGACACTAGAACAAAGAAAAGAGATCAGACCGTAAATCAGTTATAGAAGCGAGGAGGAACCCTGTTTCATACATACATTATACATACATACATGTATTATACACACATTTCAAACTTTCTGATGTCAACCAAGTGCTGTTCGATATAGCTGCTACAAATCGATGGTAAACAATATGCATTCAGTATTTATTGAGCACAGTTTGCAAATGAATTATTATCTTAAGCAGAATTGGTGGAAATTATGTGACATCATGTAGCATATGTGTGTATATTGTATGTATAATTGATAATTGAGATATTGGTTAACATTATCATGTAGTTAGTTAGCAATGAAGCCAACGGAGTCTCCCAATGAGTTCTAGAGATGTTTGGTATCGTTAAGAAACATTCCGTAGTCGCATTTCGTGTGCTAATTTTAATCAAACTTGCTTGCCAATACCATATAGCTGCCATGGAAACACAAGTCTAAAATATAACTTATGTTACATGTAGCACTCATAAGTAGCAAACGATTGTTAGATCATTTGAAGTTCGTGATGGTGTCAGGCAGGCAGCAAAAAACAGATTACAGATTGCTAAATACCATCACATAGAGCTACTCGTACATGCTGTAGTTTTGATGGAACCCTAAACCCTAAATAGAACCCATAGAAGCAACCTTCGACACTCTTTATTTACGCACTCGCATAAGACAAGCAAAAAACAAAACAAAACCAAAACAGATTACCTTCCAAGACTACGATTTATGCTTTAATTTGAACAGTTTTACCATTTAATGATACCGCGGCTTATCATTCGAGTGTTAGCACTAGAGATAGTCTTCTGGATGGACGGATGGATGGATGGATGGTGGTCGATGTTTGTGTAAACTTAGGAAACCCGACGACTTCTGGTCGCTTGTCTTTTGGGGGCCGATGGCATGCCGGTTTTTGTGTTTATTTATACGTATAAATGGAAGTACGAAAAAGTCTTGCCACTGGCAGCCAGCCCCGATAAGAGCGCGGGCCAAGTGCCGAGAGATTAGCTATTCGGAGTAGCTGCAGAGGCGTAGATAAGGAGAGACCCGAGGAGGGGTTTACTCATCAAGAAACTACATACCCCTTTGACCTCCACCCGAGAGCCAAGACTCGAGTGTCTCCATGTCTCAATCGCCAATCTTCCTCTCTCTCTCTCTCTCTCTAACTATTCAAAAACGTGTCCAACGTTTAGGCATTGTTGTTAGGCCAGGCAGTGGGGTAAAAACCTTCAACACCATTTTTAGTATGCTAATTTGAGATCTTTGATTTTGTTTTCTTTTTTTTTTTTTTGGTCGGGGGAGAGACTTGTCTTTTGGGAAACGATATGCTTGGCTTTAGATACACTTAAGACTAACTCAAAGATACTCCTACATCGTACATTCTTGCAACAGAGTCAATCTGCTCAGATACCAGAATATATACACAGAAACAGAGAGAGAGAGAGAGAGAGACAAAAACCACAAGCAACTTTATTAGCTAACGACAGAAAATACAGAAAAAAATACAAAACAAAATAAAACAAGTTTTTGGAGCGATTTTACGGATTTTCGACAAATGTATAAACCAAACAAGAAACCAAGAAAAAAATGTGAAAAATGAAAAACGAAAACAAACCCAAAATAGCAGAACACACACACACAAATTGGGAAGATACACCCCAGAAGGTGAGGCAGAGATTTAGAAAGTTTTGCCTATTATGGGGAAGAATATCATTTGATTTTGGTTGCATCTTTCAATTTATTGGTTTCCTTTTTCAACCCATTTCTTCATCTAATTGTATGTATACTCGTAATGCATATCCGTCCACAGATTTGATTGATTTTACATATTTGGTTTACGCTTAGTTCGTCAAAGAGATCACACACACACACACACACACACACAGAGAACCTTCCCCACAGACCCATATCCCGTCCAAGCAACACCCTTTCTTAAAAATCCAACCCTCCTCCCAAAAAAAAAAAAAAAAACAAAAAACTTTGTCTTGGAGTGGAACAAGAGATGGCCTTTACTATAATTTCCTTGGGCGAAAGAACGAATACACGAATTCTAGTTAATTTTATTAGACGAAATTTATTTGCAAAGATCGTAATGCATTGGCTATCAGGTTTTATAAGGAAATTTGTGTAGGGAAGGAAGGGAAGAGTATTGTATCTAGGAGGGGAATGAAAGCAGGCAGAGAAACTCTAAAGACGTAAATCTAATTGTATGCTAAATGATATATACACATCTATATAAATATATATATATTTACATAATGTATTTTAAGTCAAATGGGAATATTAATAAAAGCGATAACTAATCTGTAATAAAAACATAAAAATACATTCCCATCGAAATGTTATTTACTTGGTTGTGTGGTTACAAAATCGATAGGATCCTTCCACACAATAATGTGGTTGAACACAAAAAGAACTAGCTTCAATAGAATACAAATTTAACGGCCCAATCAGGTATCCATTATAGTTTATGGATGAAATTGCTTTGCACTCTCGATGCCATTGTTTTCTCCAATGTTTTGTCGCTGGTTCTGCTTCGTCCCAATGGGTTGGGCAGGCAATCGGGTTCGTAATCGCTCAAACTAATTCTTTTTTATTTTGCATGTTGATGTGGAATAGAGGATTCATTATTCATTAGACATATGTATGTACATTTGGTATGACATAAAACTGTCATTATTTATGCTTATCAAATAGTGCTGGATCGTAATCCAGCTTATGCTTTGGAAATGGGTCATCCCCTGAACGGCGAAGACTTAAATATATACAAGCAACAAGCAACCAATACCCTTCAATATGTATGCATGTTTGTATGTAAATATGTATGCATGTCTATGCACATGCATAAGTGTGGCTCAATAACGTTTGGATTCATCGCCCCCCTTTTTGCGGAAGAGATCGATTAAAACCCGCTATTAATTGGAGCCCTGCCAGGTGTGGTGTGGAACAGCGGATCAATGGACATAAAAAGCTTATGTCTACCGATTGCTGCCAGCACGCGCTGAGACACGCGAAAACAACAAAACATTGGCGCCGGCAGAGCGGTCAAAGCAGGCGGCAGCGCACTTGTCGCTATCTATCTGCATGCTGTTTGGGACCGATTGAGGCTCTGGCTCTCTGTCTCTCCGTCTCACCGTCTCTCTTTCGCGTGCGTTATCTCTCTTTTGCCGCCAGCGAAACAAACAGCTGAAGCGTTGGCGTTCAGTTGGAGCTTTTCAGTGTTTTTTGAAACGCCGTTCAGTGAATTACTCGCTCGCTCGCACACCTGATTTCCTCCCGCCCGATACCTATTCTCTGCAACAGCTGATTGTGCTCTTAAGTCGAAGTGTTACATTCAGACCTATGACAAATACTCTCTTTCACTCTTTCCACTTAAAGAAAAAAACAGAAGAGGAAGATACGGCGCGCTTTTTGAAAAACTGCAAACTAAAAGTTTAAAAAGACCGAACAAAAAATTGTGAAAAACCCCATCAACAAAAACAAAGTGTTGCTAAACCAGTAGGTAAAAGATAATCAAGTTAAAAATAGAAGAATAATTACTATTAGTTAATTTCAAGTTGAAAAGGGGAACAACAATTGCGTCGTTAAGCTGGATGCAGCTTCTTCCTTCTCCCTCTGCTTCTGCTTCTGCTACTGTATCGTGTGTTTGTGTGTGTGTGAGTGCGCGTGTGTCTAGGCTAGTGCACGGTGCAAGATAAGACAAGGTGGGGACATTCGTAGAGTGTGCTCTATAAAGATAGCGTGATTGTTTGCTCAAGCTAATACGAGAGAGTTCCATCACGAACATACAGAGAGCAAGTGCATAAAAATACCTCACCTTGTATGCAACACACCTTTGGTCTAGCATGTGCGTGGAAAGAGTGTGTGTTCTTGGTATTTGCTCTCCGCTAATCAACAAGTTGAATTCAATATCAATTTCGCCAATTCCCCGTTGGTTCTCCCCCCCCCCACCACTTCATCAATTTTCTAGCTGAGTGTGGGTGTCCATTTCTATGGAAATTTGCTCAGCGCCAACAAAACAACATCATTTCATCACGTGTGCGTGTGTGAGCGTGTGTGCCTGTGTGCATATTTCGCATCAATTTACCGGTATGATGACCACATCATCTCTCTCTTCAGCTCTTACTAGCTAGCTGTTCGCTGTGCTTGCTGCTCTTTAAAGTTTAAACACAACAACAACCTTTGCCGTGCCTTATAAATAAATATTTACATTAATTTGTTCTCTTGAATTTCGTTGCCCGCACCTACATACAGTGTATGTGTGTTGACACGTTCCGTCCATGAGTGTGTGAGTGCGTCAGTGTGTGCTAATGATAATGTATGAAACAATTAAATAGCAAAAATAATATTGAAAACATTTAAATCTCCAGTGTTACGCTCTATGGATTCCGTTGATATACATGTACATGTACCCCGTAATAAACCCTTTTGAGACCTCCGCCCAATCTATTATTATTTGGCGGCAGCTTCTAAAGACTTTGTCACGACAACACTTTTCCTTAGTTTCTGTATAGTACCTCGTGAAGTAGGAAAGGTATATTACGGTCATAAAGAGTTGTGTTATGCATGAGCCAGAAAGAGCGAGAGCACTCAAAACCCATAACCACAACATTTGAAATCATTAAGATCGGTTAAAATCCATCCCTGAAAATAAAGAAAACTCTATGCTATTGCCAAGCATTATGAAATGATAGTTAGTTATGGATATTTATAGCCAAGTGTTGTGGATATTTTAGGTAGCAGAAATCAAAGGTAATGCAAATGAAACAAGTTTAAAAATATTATTCTGGTTTCCAGACATTTTTGACACTCAGAAAACCTGAAAATCGGGTATCACATAGTCGATTATTAGCAAATATTTTCTCCCACCGCAAATTAAAACGTCAAACTGCATGACGATCCCTAGACACGGATTCCACTTTTCTCTCGTAGCCACTTTGGGCCCGCCCCCCCCTCGATCTACCCCATTCACCTGTTGATTTGACTTTGACAGCTAATTGCTAAAATCAATATCAACATCAACGTACTGAGAGACAGACATATGGTTGTTGTTTTCCTACACACGTACTTCACATATCTGTGTTCTGTTCTGTCGGACAGCAGGGCTTGTTCTGAACTTTGTATATTTGCTTTCAACTTATCTTTACATTCATTTTTCTCTCCTTTTTCTGATTTTTAATTACTTTCAAATTATAACCTGCGTCAAGGCAAAAAACAAAGCTACAGCAACAACAAGAAAGTATTTAATAATAAACAAGACTGTAAACGGAATTACATGACTACCGAAGCGAACAATACTCTAGTAAAGGGCATGGCAGGTCTCTTTGTATCTTAGATCAGCGCTCAAACCAAAGGAAAGTTGTCTTTTTTAAGAGAAAATTATAGCAGATTCTGAAGATTCTTCTTACAGGCGAAGGGGACACTTTTGTTTGGCTAAGAGCTGGATGCCCGCGTAAGAGGAAAATATTGATAGGCAGAGAGACGAAGAGCTAATATCAGTCTACAATCTGTTGACTCGAATTTTAAGTTCGATTTATATTTCTAGATAACAGAAGATACCAAGAAGGGGAGATCTCTGCAGCAGACTTCGCCCTAAGCCATCAAACTTACAACCACTGAACTATTCTTTCTATCATATGCAACTCTCTCCAACTGTAGCTCATTCTGTAAGCTCGAACCTCTCCTGCACACGCATCTACCCCATTTTACAAGTGTATGATCATATAAAAATTGTTTAAGAAAACTGGTTTCATTTTTCTTGTGTCGCACAAAACGTAAAGACTTGGTTTCGTTTTGCAGTGTGATTTCATGATTTAGAATTCCAAATGCATGGAAACCATGAGCAGCCGATTTACAGATTCCACAGGTGTACAAAAAAGAGGAAACTCTATCCACAAGATACAGAGAAACTTTACATCCTAAACCCAAATGAAGGCTTGAATACATGTGGATACACACAAATAAAGGATCATCTATGTAAGCTCTCTGTCCACATTGATTTATTGCCTTCGATACGTAACTACATTCTGGCAATACATCATCATTTGTTTAATAGCTCATTTGAGTTTGTGCCATAACTCAATAATGACGCAATTGAACCAATTTGACATTGCTTTAATAATTGCTTTAAATATTGCTTAATTTTCTCAATATTTCCATTAGCGTGGATGTTTTATTGAGATAAAATACAACTAATCAACACCTGAATGGCGTGCAATATTCGACATCTATCTTAATCCCACTAATAAGTCTCAATCCATTTATAAACACAATTGGCTCAAAGTCCAGTGTTTTGTGAACTTAATCAATATATTCTCTCGATGGTGGTATGAACCATTTGATCCTATTTGATCTCCGGCAACTCTTTTTAAGGGAATATATTTCGTATTCTTTCCTATTTTTTTCAATGACTTAAATAAATATTCTTTAAAGTTCTCAACACTCCCCTATGATCTCTAAAACTTTCATTTCTCTCTCTCTCTCTCTGCTTTTCGAATCTTGAGATGATGACAGACCCAGACACAGCACTGAGCCGTAGACAGACTCTGTCCACTTGTTTTTTGTTTTTGGCACTTTTTTGCATGTGAGTCACACTCGAAGCAAACCAGAAATCTCAGCGTTTCCGAGTGGTTAACTCTTTGGCCATAAAACTCTTAAAAAGCAGAGACGGGGACATACCCAGAAAAGAGCCTGGCACCCCACATAAAATCATATTCAAGTGAGCGTTGATGCTCGTGGGCAGCCTAATGGAATAGCATTTTTTGGGGTAATATTTTCTTCATTGCTAGAAAAAGGAAGAGAGATATCAAGGGGCATAACCATTGATCGATGGAGTAGATAATTGGATAATATAGATTAAAAGCACTCTTAGATATGCAGTTTTGATTCATAGGAACTTCGAAGGAAGTTGGCACACCATGTAGGAATGTACATATATGTATCTGACTAAAGCGATGGAAAACCAATGGGAAGTCTAATCGGAGAAGTGCCAACCGATAGGAACTATCTATCTACTATCTCCGAATTAAAGAAACTGCAAATACACATATGATTCATGTAGAGATAAAAGAAGCAATCAACAAACATTTATGCACATTTGTGGAACTATTCAGAAGCAAGACTGATTATACCTCAAAACCCTTTAAATACTACCCCTAGCTAACATTATGAAGTATGCCACGACTTTTTGAAGCATTTTCAATTGGGTCCACTCCTTGATAGGGGCATGATTTATACGAAAACCTTATCTAATCGGAAAAACTTGCTGCCAAACATTTGGCTGATGTAATTTGCATTCGCACAGTGAAAATTGGCTGGAAAGTAAACCCCGAACATGAGTAATATTCACCAAGCGATAAATATAGATTTTTCCCTATCAGTGGAGAATCCAATCTTGGGTCTATCTTTTGAGTAATTTCTGCGAATGTTTGCATGAGTGTTCACTGTACTTATCTCTGGCTGAGCTGTGCTAGTTTGGGTGCGAGTGCGCAATCTCCACCATAAAATAAATGGCAAAGGCAATCAAGAAATAAACAGAAAGCTTAACATGGCTCGATCGGAGCGTTGCGTTCTTATCAATTCTGATAGCGCCGGTACAGTGAGGACTCGCCCAAGACAGCGAAAACATTCAAATACGAGTGTGCCCAGAGATAAGCTCAATAAATTAAAATAAATCATGTTTCCAGTTGACCCTTTGACTGCGCATCACGCTTAAAGATCGACTGAGGCGCAATCATGCTCGAACTGGAGGACCTGCCCCGGCTACAGTCCCTCTCCCCAGCGAGGGACATCGATGAGGACTATCCCCAGACCCTGCTGGAGCCCATGCTCACGAATCCCAATCCCAATCCCAAGAAGAAGCTCACCGTTCGGGTGCCCATTGGACCGCCATCGAAGATGACAAAATTGATTAGACCCACTGTGGCCTCTACCCCCTCTACGCCCTCTCTGGATACGCCGCCCACACCGCCGGTACACTCCACCAAAAACCTCACCTGGAGAGGCGAGTTCCAGTTCACGACTCTGGTAAGCCTCTCCCCCCCGCCTTAATAATTACAGCCACAAATGTTGACAGCGCTAAAAGCTACGAGAGCTGTAATCTGAACAATCAATCTTAATTAATTAGATTGACAAGAGAGAAGTTATTACGATATTATCCATGGATTCATTATTTTTCTGATGTTAACCTGATTTATTTCTAATACATTAAAGTAGCTAATGTCAAGATAATCTTTAAACATCTTGACCACTGACCTATTAATATTGAGATTTATATTTTACACCGAAATTATATATTATTTATTAATATTTATGAATCGGGCGGGATACATATTCAAATGGCCACGTGTCCCAAGCATGTACTTGTACACCCCAACTACATATGAGTGGCGCCATCGAAGTGTGTATGCTTTTGGAACTACGCACATACGAAGTGCGGCCACACAGTTGGGGCTTTTTAATTTAAGCAAATCGAGAGAGGGAGAAAGTCACGAATGTGTCTTCTTCCCCACTCAAAGCTATTGCAGTATATTTTGGTATATTTATGAGGGTCAGGCGGTATTTTTAGTATATTTTGCTCACGCAAAAGTGAGCAAACACCAATTGGAAAGAGTCGGAATTCAACAAACAACCCAAGTGGAAAACAAAAATTACAAAAACCATAAACAATATTAAAAAATATGTGATAGTGCCAAATGATGGCTTTGAATGCAGGTGTGGGACGGCAGCCCTGCAAAAGTTATTTGCTGAAAACAGCTGCGCAAAATCATATTAATGTCATTAAAGGCCGGTACATTCGGCTTGGGTACGTTAGATTGCGAAAACCGACCAAATTCACAAAAGCAGTGGAAAAACAAACACGTTTCTCTAAAAGACCACGAAACACGTAGGTTACGCGAACGGTTGGCTAAAGCAGATGCGGCAATAATTTAGCAAGCAAGCGGAATAACAGTGAAAGAAAAAAGCGTAAAAGTGCGAAGTACAGACGGCATGTGTGCTCTCTCTCGCTCTGTGTGTGTGTGTGTGCATGTTTTCGGGAATAACAAATGAAAAACCTATTGGGTTTGTTTTATGTTTTTGCTTGTGAAATAGTTATGTTGCATTCCCCACAAAATAAGTGGAACTCATTGTGGTGGTGCGGTGGGCGACCAACAGGCTAGCAACAACAGTTATTCAGCAGACTCTCTCTTTCCATGCAATGCGCTCACTCGCTCTCTCTCTCTTCGCTCAGCTGACATGCTGCAACCTCCAGGCGAATGCACGAAAAAGCACTTTGATAAATAATTTGTTAATACAAAGTGCAAAGCGAAGGCTGGACCGGCGCTAGCAGCGCTGCGGTCGCTCTGTCATTCTACTCTTCTCGATGTTTCGAAATTCTCGAACTCGTATGTTTTTCTCTCCTTACGTGTGGTGTGTGCTTTGTGATTTGATTCTACATAAAAAAATAAACATTTTGCATTTAATTAAATGCATTATTAAATGTGTGTGCGACAGCACATTTAAGTTCGCCTTTGTGTGTGTGTGTGTGTGTGTTTAAAGCAAAGCCAGAAATACGAGAGCACGGACAAGAAAAAAACAGCAGTTGCATGGGTGTGTGCGAGTGTGTTCTTGTGTGAGTCAGACGAAGCACCAAAAAAACGAGCGATAAAAGCAAACAAAGAAATAAACAACAAATATGCAGGCAAAAAAACAACTGAATATTAGACAAAAAAAACGGCAAAACAAAGCAAAATTTTCAGGTATTTTTTGACGATTTCACCAGCCGCCTGACAAGCACACACACGCACTCCCAGCACACATACGTAAAAGCATGTAAAGTGCGTGTGGTAGACTGTAAGAAGAAGCAGAAGAAGCGGCTTCTGCTGCAAATTGAAAAGACAACGCAAATGGTTATAAATAATTAATGGAAAGTAAATGCAAATCAATTAGAGTGTGAAACACAGTGAGAGAAAGCTAATTTGGCCAAGTTCAAGGACGTACGCGAGCAGAATATCGATGTATTTGTGCTAATATTTTGTGCCTTGCAGCAATTATAAAAATATCAAATTAAATTGAATATTTAAACGAAAAACCGCAAATAGAAAGTGAAGTTTACACAAATTAAAAGCGACAACAACCGAAAAAAATACTGCGGGGAGTGAGTGAATTGGCCAACGGCGGTTGTGCACCGAAACGGTAAACAGCAGCAGCCACATATCATAACATTCACCATTGTGTGTGAAAGAAGTGCAAAAAATCGGCAGCAGAAAGCGGAGAAAGAACAACAACAGCAACAACTAAAGGAGGAGGAGGAAAGAGTAACAGCAGCACATACAGCATTTACTGCGTCGCAGCTTTTACCGTTGTAGAGCAGAAGCAGAAACAGCAGCAGCGCATCGTCTCTTTTTGGCAGGGACAAACATTTTCTGCCGGACAGAAAAGGTGAGTGCACTCTCCCTCCCACAAGCACACCCACAGCCCACTCACATCGCTTCATTCTCGCACACTTGCATTTGTGTATTTGTAAGTCATTCATTGAGAACTGCTTGCTCAAGGGGTATTAATTAAAGGTGGGGAATTTGCAAGAGTCTGCAATTACTCAGAAAACGAATACCACCATCATATGCATATGCTTCACCTCGTGCTGTTTGTCTTTCTGTTTTTTGCGTATTTATTCGCTAATCAAAATTTGATTTTGAACCCCTTCCGCACCCCTGTGAAGATTTCCTTTTTGAAAATTGCTTTAAACAAAGAAAGTTTATATCTTCTAACAAATTGTTGGCATATATTTGGTGTGTGCTCGTGGTTGTTGTTTTATCTGCGTTTTTTGGGTCCGTCCTTGAATTGGGTGTTTCACTTGGCGGCAGGCAGCAGTGCGCAGCATTTCGAGCGAGAGACCTTGAACAAGTTCAAGTTCAGCGGCGTTGTCTGTGTCTGGGTCATTCCTTTTTTGATTTTGCGTTTGCTTTTGTTGTGGGAGTTAATAGAGGGCATAGAAGGGGGAAAATGAATAGGGGAAAGACACACAAGGACAACGCATGGGCATATTAAATGCGTAGTGGATGGAAAAGAAAATGGCTCTGGAGGTGAAAAACAAAACGATTAACTGTCTTTACAGCGTTACAAGCCTTCAAGGGATCTATTCAAGCTTATTTTTTGTGAATAGAGCGATTTAGAACATCTCTTTTGGTATTAGTACCTCCCAAGTAGCTCTCTTTTCAAGCAGTTTTCTTTCTGTCAAAGCAGTAACTTTCTTTCAAGTGCAAGCAGTGCCATTTCAACATCACTTCTCACTCTAAACAATGAATTCGCTACCTCAAACTGGGGAAAGTAAGAATCCGAGACGGAGATAGAACATTTCCTATCACCCATACACGTCAACCCATACTTTCTCAGCCACACTTCCTCATATCCACAGATCAGTCGTCGCCAATTTCCATTCGTAAATAACGTGACAAAGGCCGTTCGACCACTCGAAACAAAAGCATTTTCATTGAACATTCAAATTGCATCGGCCATGTGCATACATATAGTTATTTATTTATAGTTAACCATTTGTTATGCTTACTAATTCCAATATACATATTTTGTGTCTACTTACAGAACAAACACGAGGACAGCCATCAATTAAAGAGGAGGCGGAGAGCAGCACACACACAGGAATTGCGATTCAAGCAATCAGAGATCGAAAAAGAATATATTTCTGCTCTGTTCTGTTCATTTTGCGCAGAGATTATTCTGGAGAGCCGAGAGAGTCGGGCAGAGGGGAAACGTCATTGAACGGCTGCCATCCCGGACGACGCAGCCATCGAGCTGTTGTCTGGCCGGGGGGCTGGAAAGAGGAGGAGACCTCGCGTCACCCACGCACCCACGGTGCAAGCGTAACCTCAGGGTAAACAGCACAGAAACATCTTTAAAATGATCTCAAATAAAAAAACACACGCCATGCGGATGCTTCATCTGGCCCTTGCCCTCAGCCTGTTCCACTACAATCCGGAGTATCTGCTCAATCGCTGGGACTCGCAGCTCGAGCTGGCCCACGGGGACGGATGGGAGCTGGAGATGCTGCGTTCGGTGCATCGCACCCACATGAACCAGAATCCGTATGCCAACCGCAAGATGATGCCCCGGATCGAGGATCTGCTGCCCTTCGACGACCATGGAGTCGGCGGCGGAGGCGAGTACAAGCTGCCGACGAGATTCAATGGCAGCGCCTTTGTGATGAATCTCCACAATACGACCGGTAACAGCAGCGTTCAGACAGCAGCTCTACAAGATCTCCAGAGCCCCGGAGGAGGAGCAACTGGAAATTCCAATGTCGGCTCAAGTGCACCCTCCACGGGGGGCGGCACTGGCCCTGGTAGTGCTTCTGGCCTCGGGGAGATCCACATCGACACCGCAGCAATGGCCACCGGCCACCCCAATCGCAATCACTCGATGCGACACCATGCCGCCCCGGAGCTGGACATCTTCCTGTCGCCGCATCTGCTGCAGGAGCAGCGCTCCATTTGGGAGCAGAACCTGGCTGATCTGCAGGACTACAACGATCTGCCACAGGCCAGCCCCTATGCGAATCTGCCCCTGAAGGATGGCCAGCAGCAGGCGCCGAACAGCTCCAGCCTGGATCTCAGTCTAGCCGTCCTGCTCCACGGTTTTGCGGGAAGTGGTACCTACCGCGAGGGAGCCACGGCCCTGAATGACAGCACACCGCATCCCGGCAATCCAGGCAGTCTCACGGTGGAGCAATTCGGACCGGAAGAGGATGAAAACGTGGAGGATCTCTATCTGGGTCGTCTGTTCGGACAGGACACCGACGAGGAGGATGTGGGAGGAGCAGCAAATGCCTGCGAAGTGGAGGGATTGACCACGCATGAACCCTTTGGCAGCGCCACCTTTGGCAATGAAGTGGAAGTTGTCATCAAGGAGGAGCATGAGGAAAACGAGGAGGAGGAGGAGGTAACACCATAGTTGTAGCTGTATTTGTAATTCGACTGATTAGAAGGCTCTACGATGTCCGATATGGCACCACCAGCAGAGGGACGCCGGACCCCCGGTGTCTCAGTGTCCGAACAGTGTCTCTGAAAAGTATTTGCATTGCTAATGAATAGTTCGAATGAACCCCGTGCTTGACCTATTCCAGTCGGTAGGCATTTGATTTGCTTAGTTATAGAACAGAACCGCATTTGTTGCTGTTTTCCTCTCTCTTTTTGGTTTATTTCTCGATCGTTTATTCGATATTTAAATGTGTCTATGCTCTATCTGCTTATCTGTAGATAATGAAAGCTACGTATGACTGACTGACTGGCTTTGTTTATGCATATACGAACCATCAGCATGACTGTTCTCATTAGGTACCAGCAAAGAACGCTCCAAATTCCATATCTCTGTGTGCATTTTACGCCTAATCAGTGATTAACGGAAAAGTATAGTTTAACATAAATTGATTTAAGTTGATTTTAAGATTATTTGAGGGACACAAATCAAAGATATTTTACTGTTTTCAAGCTCTTAATTCATAATTATCCAATTGCGAGATCCAGCGAGTGCGAAAGGGTACAGCCGATCCTAAACGTCGCAGCCCTCGAATTGAATTTAGTGAATTTAATTAGATATTGTAGCACTGCTTCTCTATATCAAGCGTGGTTTATCAGTGTTTTTACCTCTACCAACGCCACCAACCAGGCAATTAGGTCATTAAACGTTTTGACTGCGCAAAACAAAAAAAATAAAGCAAACACAAAATGTTCACAGAAAATGGAAAAAATCAAAGCGTTTTTTAAAGCAAAAAATGAAAAGAGATTTTTGCACAAAATTAAAAATTCAATTTAATAAATTCGAGTTGTACCACAGACATGAGTATGCATGCACATGACAGTGGGACAGTTCATGACCATAAGAGGAAAATGCAAGGGTACTTGACGAAAACTTTAACCCATTTTAGCAGAGAGAATTTAAGTATGTAGTTGACATATGTATGCTATATGTATGACCTTATATTCGCTAAAATTGTCCTAAAATAACTTGCCATCTACTCTAGATCGATAACGTATTGATGAAATATTTTTGAAAGGAACTTTTTGTAGCCTTTCCAATCGTGAAAGGTTTTTTATAGCTTCGAATTATTCTCGGATAAATATTCATTGCCTGTCTGGATGTGTGAATGCGTATACAAATTTATATGTGTATATTTTGGAGCTGATTGGTTGTCTTTGCTTTTTTAAATATTTATTTTTAATCGCAGTGCAGTGCAGCCAGCGCTTCTGTATGCTTTTTGCGTTACTTATTTTTTGTGTTGTGCAAATTGCAATTTAAATATGCAAAAACCTGGCCAGAAAGGAGAGCACCAGGAGAGGCAGCACGGGGCGAGGGATGGGGATGTTGGAGAATGACTAACTCTCGTGTGTTATTTTCGATTCGATTTATTGTTGGTTGGTTGGTTGGTTGCTGTGGCTGTCTCTGTTGTGGCCTGTAATTTGTTTCTGCCTTTTCCACGACATGTCACGAATGTTTTCCATTTCCCCTGATGACGGTTTTTATATTATTTTTCTATTTGTTCTCTGTTGATATTTTTTTTGTTTGAGAATTTGTTCTTGAGACAAAAACATACATTCACATGGGAGTATTTAGATATAAATGTATGCATAATTATGCATATATTGTATCTATTTACTCTTTACGGTGTATATAATGCACTTGGCACTCACTTGGTTGCATAATCAGTGAAAACTTTTTGATTAAGATTCATCAGATGATGAGTTTCTTTGTTCTTTAATGAATAAGTGATTCTGCATTCAACTTCCGACATTATATGGTACCCTTTAAGCGGGGGGATATTTGTTCTAATCAGAATTCTGTCAAGGTTATGGAAAGGGTATATATTTTCCTGATAGATATACGTAGTTCCCGTGGGATAAACTTGAACTATGTAGAACATGTTCATATATCGTGGATTCCTTCGATGTTAGGGTATCCATTGTGTCTACCCAGGTTCTACTGCTTACATCTGCTGAAAGCTTCAATCCATAAACGATCGAATATGCTAATTATTCTCTCGAACTAGTTCCCCTTCGGTCCATAAACGGATTGTTCGCATAAACTAGTTCGCGTTCTCGTTTAAACAAAGAACAAAACCATGCACCTGCCACTCTGTCTTTGCTGTGTGTCACCATCGATTGAAACAAAGATGCTTTCATATATACATACATACATAGGTCTCTCTCCCTCTTGCACCTGCCATAGATCCAAAAGATGTAAGTTTTCCGCTCATTCTCCTCTTCTCTCGCTCTGAGCATCTGTGAAGTCAAGTGCTTCAGGTCGCACTCCGTGTGACCTCCTCACAAACAACACACACACACACACGCACAGTTTAAACTTTATTTGGCTTGAATGTCGTCCACCTGTGGTGCTATCTCGCTCTGTCTTGCGAGATTTGCTAATTGCAAGTCTACAAAAAAGCAACAAAATAATCACGCACAAAGCTTTGATGCCTCGCTGCTTTGCTTTATGCGTCTCATTCGCTCAAGTCGACTTTTGTCATATTTTTTTTGTTTATTTTTTGGGGTCTGTTTCGTTGAACTTCGCTGAAAAATCAAATTCTGTGCTCATCCGAGTCTTGAGTCACCTCTCTCTCTGCCAGAGATCTCTCTCTTTTTATAGCACGCTTTGATTACGCTTTGATTAATATTTATATACTATCATACTGATGCTGCAGTTTTCACAGACCCATCAAAAGGGGTGTGTGCACACGGTCAGGGGAGGAGGGGAAGCTGACGTGGTAAAGAAAACTTGAAAACAAAACTGAGAAGAGCGCAAAACAGCTGTTTTTACCGGCATCACATTCAGCGCGCGCTCTCTTCAACACACCACACTCTTCAGCAACTCGGGCAACCTTTGTTGCAAGTGAGAAACTCACCAGGCAACATGTTGCAGGCGAAAGTAATTTAGCCAAGACGAAAACCTATCCTAAGTGTGGAATGCAACCCGTTAAAGCTTTTATCGATTGTTGTTTTCTCGATTTAAACGAACTTTTGAATTTGAAAGTCCAGAGCTTCCGTTGGTAAAAAATAATCTATTTTAAAGGTTCTTAACCATACAAATATGTTTGCATGTGTCGTCTGCTACTAGGCCTCTTATCTGTTAGGTGTACGTTTTTGTTGCCCGATTTACTTTCAAAACTCGTGCAAAACAAACTTTATCAATTGAAAATAATCAAATATTTTTTATGAGCACCCCTCCAGCTGCGGTGCTGATTAGCCAGCCAGCCCAAGTCCCAGACAATTTCTAGCCTCGTACCAGGCGGTACTTTCAGTCTGCGTTATGCCGATTTCCAGTGAATACGTCTCCAGTGAAAACCGAATCGTCTGTGGATCACCGTTCGCCCGCGAAAGCAACAACCCCAAAACGGAAACCATTTTCATCAACTCCCAAAATGTGCCTCAACGAGGAGTACAAATATATGCACATCTACCTAGCGGTCTGTCTTCCGAGATTTGCCTTCTTCCTATAAACCATATGTATCTTTTTCTGTGACTAAAGCAGCGGACTATCTTTTTCTGTGCACACGGATAAACTTTCTATTCACATGGCCACAGTGTTGGCGCCAACAAAAAACCAAACAAAATGCAAGAAAAAACGCAAAAACGGCGTAAAGACTGCAAATTGAAAAATAATTTGCCTGTAATTACGTTGCATTTTGCCATCTAATTACCTGCAAAGGGGTGTAGCGGCGGTAGAGGCAAGCCAAAAGAGTACAAGAAATATTCACAATTCACTCGGACTTCGAATATTTATTAGAGAGGGAACAAAGAAAGTCGCGAACATTCGTACTAGAAACGTTTGATGCCAAAGTTGAGTAAGAAATAAAAACCTAGAACATTTCGCACTTGGAAGATTCGATCTTTCCCAACTGATAAATGTGAATCTTAAATGAAGCCCAAGACTGTGGGGAGCCTTGCCTCGTGTTGCTTTCGTGCTTGCATCTCTAGTTAATACTTGAATATTTCTGTATTGTTTTTTCGGTTTCGGTGAGCTTTGGTTTCTCACCCAAGTAGCTCTCGTGGGCTAATTTCCATAATTAAATACCGTTAATTACGGTTCGCGAACTTATGTTGAGGCGCCGCCTATTGGCCAAGTGGCCAAAGTGCTGTGCGGGAAAGAGATAACAAGTGGTGGAGTGGAGTGGTGTGTGTGTGTGTGTGTGTGTGTATGTGTGTGTGCAAAAAAAGTTCAAATGTTAAATTGATTATATGGTGGAGCAAGAGAGCGGGCGAGGGGGCGAGGGGAGGGAGTGAGCACCACGTACGAATTTGAATTGAAAACTCATTAATTGATGGGCAGGAACCATTCGGATGACACAAATGAACTGTTATTACGGCATAACTGTGCCTGTACCCTCTCTTTCTCTCTCTCTCGAAGGGTCGGCACGGGTGTGCTGCAAACCGCAAAATGTGCATTGAGCGGCACACAACAGGATACTTGAGGCCAAAGCCACAGATACACACACACACACACACACACACAGATACAGATACTTCAGCTTTGTTGGTGGCACAATCCCCGGTCCGGACTGGAGGAGTGCTGCAACTCCAGACTTTTGGCTTGACGAGCACATGATTAATATGCGCCACACTTGCTCTCGCCTCCTTGTGGCTGCCACAAGAGCATACGCGCCGCGCCACACGATGCTCAAGTGATCTCCGGCTCGGGGATCTGTCCTTCGTGCCGCGCTGTCAGTTCAGGTGTCATCAGAAATCTCTCCACCGCCGCAGACGACGACGAGGCTTTATTAATGACTTTTTGCTAACCTTTTTAGCCACACAGAGACGAACGGAGGGACAGTAAGTCCCGTCCTTAAGCGGCTCGGGATCAGGTCTCTGCTTTCCTTTGCTTGATTCTTTCTTTCTCCTTCGGCACTTTCTTTTGCTTTCACTCGAGACTTTTATGATACACCGCACCGCCCGCCCGCGGTTGCTGCTTTGCAGCCTAGAAGGATCGGATCGGAAATCCATTTATCTTTGTTCCTTACTCGTTCTGTTAATTTATTTTTCTTTTGAATGTTGCGTCGGCATTTTGTGGTCAAGCAAAGCGATCGCCTAAGCGGAGACTAATTGCTGCCACAAAGCGTTACAAGTGTCAATATTTTGATGCAACCATGACCTTGATTGATGGTTTGTCAAACAAAAGCAGTTGTCGTGGGGCCCAGCAGCAGCTCTCATTAGTCTTGTGGTTCGGGCAAGAAAACCATTGCAGTAGTTCTGGGGATCCCGCTTTCCCCATTCTGAAGGGATTAATTAATGGGAATCTGATTAGACTTAGGCATCGTTTTGTTCGCACGAATGTTCCCTAGTAGACCCTGAGAGTGGCTATCCCCCCCCCCGCTATACTCATTGCTTACGAGAGATTTGCTCATCTTATCTCTCACTTTATCAATGGAACTCTCCTCAGCAGCTGCTTGTCTGGAGAGCGGCACACGTGTACGCAAAAAACTTGAATGGTTCCTAAAGCACAACAGCCTTATAAATGAACAAGGTCACGGGGATAGACATGTATAACTGTTGCCCAACGATAAGAGTTGGCCCATAAATACTATGGCCATAAATTGTGAAATTCGCAAATGAATCCTAAAATAAACAACACTCGAAATGAAAGTTAATGCGGGATTTTCCAGCAAGAGGGGAATGCCCCCTCAGAGCATCAAAAGATTAATTTCTCAGCCCTTTCTTTCCGTTATTTCTCTCTATTTTCCCTCATTGCGATTTATAAATCGAATTCTTTATAAGTGCACCTGTCTAAGCTGCTAAAAATGTCACGTACTATGGCCCGTGGGCTACAAGTACTACTTGGGTTGTACAACTATAACACCGATAAGAACTGTAGTTCGAAAGAGTAGAGTCGAAAAGCGAAGGGTTTCTGCTCTACTTTCAGTTCTTGCTATTAAGAGTTCTCTCTGTGAGGAACTTCCATTTAAGACTCTTCTTTTTCCATAGTTCTTCTTCGGTGAAATGTCATTCAACCTTTCATTGAAGTTTAATTAAAAGTCAAGTTGCCCCTCAGCCAACGCCATATACTCACACAATTGCCTATAGACTGGATAGATATGTACATATGGATGTATGCTGAATCAATCGTAGATGTGCTGAAGAGGAACAAACAACCCCCTCCGCATGGAAATGTATGTAATAATGAAAGCCAGCAGGGGAGGATTCGGTTTTTGGTGTTTCGGCTCGGTTCGGTTCGGGTCGGGTCGGGTCGGGTCGGGAACCTCTTCTTTCTTCTCAATTTAATTGCTCTTTTTTGTTGCTGTTGTTGTTTTGTAGTTGTAGCCGTTGAACGAACATGCGCACACAGCGATACCTTCACTCACACACACACACATGAATAGGTCCGACCTGTTCCCTGGGGAATTTTCACTGCTGCAGCCCAGCGCTGCTCTCTTTCTCTGCCGTTCGGCGCGGCAGTGGCAGCAATTGATTGGGCTCGAAGGCGGCGGCACAGTGGCCCTTAATTTCCCTTCTGATTCTGACGGGGGCAGAAACAGGAGAGAGAGAGAGACCCAACCGACCGACCGACCGACACACCGGCGAGAGAGACCAATGATGCCGCCGCCATAGCCGTATTCTGCTGACTAATCCAGGAGATAGGCGTGGTCACAGAATGATTGATTGCTTTTCTTTCTTTCTTTCCGCCCTTCGCTGCAGCAGCAGCAACAGCAGGGAGCGAGCAGCGAGCAGCGAGGGAAGCAGAAAGAAAAACTTGTAGAAAGCCTCTGAAGAAAATTTTAGAGTAAAAACAAAAATGTCACACGATTTGGGACCCACAAGAAAGAAAGAAGGAAAGAAAATGTCATCGCTGGGAGACGAAACATTTTAATTAAAACATCAAAAAGTCCTTTGGCAACCGATCGTGTCCTTTTGGGCATTACGGTAGGCCCCGAAAGCGAGTGAATCGATTGTCCCCGTGCTAATGTCTGCCATTATCCCGTGATTATCCCTCGTTTCTTCAGATACTTTCCAGTGCAGTATTCCCTACCTGTTTGCATGGGAGAAACCTGAAGGCAGACGCAGAATCAGAATGCAGCGGCTTAAGGATGGAGGACAACGCCTCCTGCCTGTCCTGTCCATCGACTGTCCATCCAGCCGACTTTCGACTTGACCAAGGAAAAGGATTAAAGTGGTTTCGGGACGAGCAGCGTTAATAATGCATCATTAACGCTATAATTTGAGCTCGAATTCCGCTTCTTTTAGTCATTCCTCGTTGCTCGTTCCTCTTTCCGCATGATTTGGCAGAATTCCAATATCCCACATCGGAGAGCATCTTCATAAGCAAAACGATCGGCACATGTGGATGAGTGTCAGCATTCCTTTGTGTGGTTGAGTTCTTTCTGCTTTGGCAAGTGTAGAAGCAGATCACTGGCGAAGATCCCTTCCTCAGTGTGCACACTCCCTGAGGTCTCTTTCTCGGATGACTTTAACCTTACAGCTCTCTCTTTGCTATCATTTTTGTCAAGTGTAGAAGAACTCTCTTCGAGTGGAATCTATTGCTGCAAATATTGTTTGCAGTGTGGACGATGATAAGAGACGTCGTCGTCGTGTGGCGTAAACAAGTCCCGGGCACGAGCCCAAGGCACGCCGTAAGAGAGTGCTCAGTGTTTGTGTGTGTCTCTGGAATCATTCTTATAAATACTATATCATCCATACAGTGCAGAGCCCTCGGTTCTCTGTCGTTCACTGATAACGTCAGCGATTGACGATCATCGATTGGCGACGTCCAAAGAGCGACCGAGCAACGGGCGGGCGACTCTTTGCTGCTTCGAGAGGTTTCTGTCTAAGGGAGCGGCGTGCATTGTGGGGACTATGTGTCCGCGATAAGAGTTGTGAAATAAGGGAAGGCTCTAAGTGTAGTTTTCGTAGCCCAACATTAGTTTATGCTACTTGGCAACATTTTACAGCCATACAAGTGAGAATTGTGGGTGGGCTTACGCTTTCTTTCAAGCACGATTGAACTGCATCTCCATTGAATCTTAAGAGACTGCTGAAGCGATCTTTGCACAAGCCAAATGTATGAATTTTCCTTCCAAAATAGAGCATCGCTAACCTGTTAGATGTCTCCTTGTTATAGAGTATCCATCATTCGGCTCTCGCTGTCTCTATCTGATGTATCTTTTTATCTGGGGAACGACTTATCAGCGACACAGCGCCAAATGTAAATCGACATTATCAAAAGGTAATGCAAAGCAAAGCGGAAAAGTGCGGAAGAGTAGAGTGGAGAAGAGCGAGCGAGTGCCCCCCCACATGGAGGCAGTGGTGGATGGAGTGTGTGACTCTTTTTGCAGCCTTCAGTCTCTCTTAGGGAACTAGAACAAGCGGATGACGTTGCGGGGCTCCAGAAGAGCAATTGAATAGTGATTAGATATAGAACTGAAATAGAACTGAAAGTGCAACCCAAAATAAAAGAAGAAAATAAGAAAGATCCGAGTGTAAATATGAGGGTGTTCATCCATAAAGCGCTGGTCAGACATTTGTGCCTATTATTTATAGCCTCAAATAAGAAACATTAATCTGACATTACTGACTGTGTGCCTTGTTTTGGATCTTACAGGAGAGTGAAATCGCTGAGGTGCTGTACAAACAAGATGTGGACTTGGGCTTCAGCCTCGATCAGGAGCAGATCATCAATGCCTCCTATGCCAGTGGCAATAGTGCGGCCTCTCAGGCCAAGGCCAAGGCGGAGGCCGAGGCCGAGGCCGAGTCGAAGCCGGCGGATCCCTCGATGTCGGACTCTGCCTTCAAGGACAGCGACGACGCCGACGAGCTGACAACCAGTGGCGCCTCTGTGGATGATATCGAGAAGCTGAAAGCTTTGGAAGAGCTTCAGGAAGATAAGGTAAAGCTAAAGCTAAAGCGTAGATTTACATTTGGAATTTCACAATATTTACACACCATATGGCGGGGGCATATCTACAGAGAGCCCCAGCTATCGAGTTATCTAATAGATAAATGTCGAGTTCAGATGGGGGATTCAGAGTTTTGCCTTTTTGATCTTGAATAATCGATGAATGTCTCCATACCACGCAGGACAAGGCCCATGAGAATCCCCTGGAAGAGATAACCAATGAATGGAACGGCATTCCCTTTACCATCGATAATGAAACTGGTAAGTTTTCACTCCTACTTTCGCTCTCTATGTGGGGTCTTGCCTGTTACATCTTAAGCTTCTCAGACCGCCACGACAGACCAGATAGATGCATGGATCTACCTTTATATCTTATCTATTCGTAGGAAACGAGTTTCACTTTCAGAAACGATACGCACCCAACGATAAGCTCTGGCGAAGTAACGAGATCTTTTATGAGACAAGAAGTCGAAAGATTGCGCGTTTCTCAATGCGATAAACATCTACTTCTGTTTTTTGGGGTAACCATTAATTGCAACGCTTTTGGAATTACTTTTATATCGATAAATTCACTGAAGAACAAATGAGCCATAAAATCCACTTCCACTTCCACTTCCTCGACTGCTTCAAGTCTGTCATTAACAATATGCTTCCCTTCCCATGCTCCAATCTATAATTCCACACACATTTATCAGCAGCTCCCCTTGAGGCCCTTGATCCTTCGATCTGGTATACAAAGAGAGCAAAATGGCCTGCCAAAAAGATGGCGTCGTCTGCTCCAATATAAACGAAAATGGATTATCCTGGATTCAATGAGGGCCTCATTTCGGGGTGCGTGCATTTTCGAGACGTTTATAAATGAATGTAGGCATTTTGAGTTGACAGGCACGAAAATTAAAAGAAAAATGAGCTTTTTTTCGTTTCATTTTCCCGCAAAACCCAGCCACCGCCATGCCTCCTGCCTTCTTGCTAATCTGCTTGGAACCGCGCCCCACTGCCATGGCCACTGCCACTGTGCCACAGCCATGCTTCCACTCCGATTGCCATTCCCCGTTCCCCCATATCCAAGCGGTTGCCTTTCAAACAAACTTTGACACGCACACACGAACTTTTATTATTAAACGCGACCCCCAGAGCCCCCGAAATGGAGCGGGTAGATGGAGAAAACCCGTCTGGAACTGGGAATATATTTAAGGCGGAAGGGGAATTGGGGAGGAGGATTGAGGATTGAGGATTGAGTAGTAGGGGATCTCCGCCGCCCAGTGGCAGTAAGAGTTTACGCTGTAAGCAGCAGCAGCCACCGCGTGTCGCGTCGCATGCAACATTTTTCTTTTGAAAAATGAACAAAACATGATTCGCCAAAAACTTCCAAGAGCAAATACACACACAATAAGTATATATAATGTGTGTATATACATATGTATTGGGAGAAAGAAGTGCTATGTACTATGGGAGGTCTCTGCTCCAGCCCGTTCGTATGGCTTCAACTTTGGCCTATAAGACTCTTACGCGTACATAGGGCGCAGCGAAAGGCAAACCTTTTAATTTGTTGCACAAAATACCAAAGGCAGTGGCGTCGATATTGAGGGGAGAAGAATCTGCAGAGGGGTTTTCATACAAAGATTGGGTAGCTATCAGGGTAGCTCCCCCTTGGATAGGACCCTGGGTACATTTGTTTCTCCTGCTGATGCCACTGCCATGAAAGCGGCTTATTGAGCAGCATATTGGACGAGAGTAAACTCCTTTTGGGAGGGTTTTTCTCTCTCTCTCACAGCATCCATTTTGTGTCCCACAGCCACCACCAGCCAAAGGGCAACCAAGGGATAGGCATCATTAGTCCACGAGCAGTTCCCAGCAGCATCCACCATATTGAATATATATGTACATATTCCATGCCCTATTCATGGGCATTTATGCTGCTTATTATGATTGTGCTTCCATCGAATGCGTTTGGCCATTTATTAAAAATCCATTGATGCACGGCACGCGGGGTTCGGGTAGTCGGGTAGTCGGGTAGTCGGGAATTCGGGGAGATGAATATCACATTTGAGGCACACACGGCATTCACACGCTCTTGTGTGCCCTGGCCTGCCTGATGCCCGCCCGTACCGATACATATTTCTATCCATGATTTCTTGGTGCGTATCCAAATTCCCCATGGAATCGAAGCAAACGAAAATCCAATCTCTGTGTTCCGCAGCCTTTGGCGGCAGGCATTATAGTCCCATTGTTTGATTCCTGCCTCCTAAAAAGGCTGCTAAAATGAAAGTCATTTCTGTCGGCTTTCTGTATTTTAAAGGAATTTCTTTAATTTCACCTTTCGCACGTTTAGGCGTAGAGTTTCATTAATTTTAATCATTTTTCTAGCATTTGCTCCTGTCTCGGAATGAAGCTGTTGGCATTTCGGAGACATTTCTCTGTGGGTAATGTCCTGCCCGAGGATTGCCTTGTCATTGGACAGGGCATATGTTTCCTCGCACATTAGGATACTTTGTGGCACTTTTTTTGTGTGTTAATTAAGTTGCAAGTAGCAGTATCTCCCAGATATTGTGACTCTTTCGCTCTGCTCTTTGTCCGCCCCAATCAACTTTTGTTTGTGTTTCCCAATACAGTTTTCTGATTCGGATTCTCTGTCTTCCATTATATCTTTATATGAACTATGGGGATCGTACACATAGCCATAGCCCCTCCATCTGTGTGCGAATCACAAATCTGATTACATTCTATCATCGGTTCGATGCTTTTGAATTCGTTTTGGTTTGTTCTTTTATTTTTTTTTCATTTTAGTCTTTGTATTTGTATTCCGTTTGACAGGTTTTTGGTTTTTGGCCGGCAATGACTTGGCCAGAACAAGTTATGCTCTTATTCTCAATTATGTTATAGATATTTTTGGGTCTCTTTTTAATTCCATTATGCAATCAGTTAGGCTGCTGCCAAGCTACGCCAAGTTTATTGACCACAGAACCCAAGGGGGATTTGTGGCAAAACTCGAAGCTACAAATTCTTCTGTGACGAACTAGAAAGTTCGAAATATAATCTATAATATCAGTGTAAATTAAATGTTTTAGTTGCTGTTTAGGAGGTGAAAGATCCTCCAAGATGGAGTGCCTTCATTCGAGTCCTTTCAAAAGGCAAACCGCAGGCTATTAAAATAATTAGAAAAATTAAAAAGTTATCATTTCATTTGCCGTCCATCAATGGCTTCCCTCTGATCAAATACAAAACAGATGAAAATTGTTATGAAAATTATTACAGAACATCTGGTGCATGGCCGGCATACATGTACGTGTGTACATAGGGTTCTGGGTCTGGGTCTGGGTCTGGGACTGTGGCAGTGACGGTGCCAGCGGTGCACCTATTGAGGATCTGTCTGTCTGGTGGCCTTCCCCTCCCCACCACTCCCTGCTGTTGTCTGGCCCAAAAACAGAATGTGGAGTGCAGGAGGAGGAGCGGTTCAAATTCTACATGGTCAGCATTACGCTACAATTTTACAAAAAAAAAAAGTAAAGAAAAGGAAAATTTACATAGGGAATAGAGCGGAAAGCGGGGGGGGAGGCGAGTAGACACTGCAGTCCTGAGTCCCGGGTCTGACTGAGGTCTGGTTTGGTCTACTCTGGCTCTGGCTTGGTCACCGATTTTTCTGCTGCATAATCGTATCACTTTCAAGTGTTTTCGTCTTGCGCAACCCTCTGTCTGTTCCCTACTCCCTCTCTCTCTCTCTCTCGATTCCTACTACTATTGCCTTGTGGGCCAAAAGCTAGCTGGCAATTGCATCATTTTGTGTAAGTTTTTGCCATTTAATTAGCTTTTAGCCTGGTTTGTTTCCGCAGAACACCAAAGAAGTGCTTGACCCAATGAGTGCCCTGTACGGCTGTCGGCTTTAAGGATTATGAAAGTTTCTTCATTTGTATTCAAATGAACCACTATTCAAATACTCATTCATAAAGTTCATTCAGCTTCCATTCAGACTTGCGGCAACTCATTAACCACAAAAAATGTTAGGGAATAGAGCAGAAGTCAAGTCAGAGATAATGTGAGGCAACTCCCCTCCCATATCACACACACACACACACACACATGGGGTTAACAATAGAAGTGAGACTACGAGTAGTGTGGTGCGAGAGTTGTATCGCCCGCACTCCGACATTGGTTTATTTTTTAGCAACTTCATTGTTGACACTATCCAGAGGCGCAGATCTGTCCTGTCATAATTGTTGCTCACTGGTTTCAGGCATGGCTCTGCTTTTGCTTCAGTTTTGCCAGTGCTGGTAAGTGCTTAAAGGGGGAACCAAAAGTGAAATTGCAGAAAAGGGAAAGCCTGCAAAGATCCATTCTCGAATGCAATGCTCCTGCATCAAAGTACAACCAGAACTCAGTGTTACTTTGGGTCTAGTGCTGTTTAGTGCTGAATGAAGTGTAGCATTGTGCAGCAAAATAGGTGAAATCTGTATTCAAATCAGAGTACAACTTATCCTCCATGAAACTCCCTTACCGGATGCAACTCTCTCCCCCCACGCTACCCCCTGCCGGCGATCAATCGCTTCAATCAGCCACCGCTTCTGCTTCTGCTTCTTCGTCTTCTATTCATTATTATTTCTCTTCTGCGCCCCGGCAACAATTTAAACTAATTAAGTTGTAATAAAGCACTCAAGAGACTGCTTGAAGACGCAGAGAAGTCAACAACAAAAATATATGATTAACCAGCCAAATGTTGTGCTGGTTCAATATACGAGTACGAGTCTATTTCTCAGTTGCTCTTGCGCACTGCTTCCTACTGTGTCTTTCGTTTTTTCATCCACAACCAAAAATTATACAAGCATCGAAAGCATCCAATCGAAATGTCGGCTACCCTCTGCCCTCTGCTTCATCGATGATGCTGCTAATTTTTCAGAGCAAGATCCCGTAACCCCCTTCGGCCTGTCGCTCTCTTGTGCTTTTTGAAGTTCACCAAATACGTTTTTTGGCTCTATTTTGGTCAGTGGCCCATTAATGTGCATATTGCCTGCTCTTTTCCACCTCTCAATCTCCATGGGTTGATTTATTTCGATTGCGGTAATTGTGTTAATTTTTTGGGTAAATAAGTTTTTGTTTTGCTTGGAACGAAAACTGCAGAGGGAGGATGGATGGGGGAAATTCCCTCCGAATTGGCCTACTCGTAAACGCATTTGGGCCAAATCTATAAATCAAAGGGAATTTTCGATGAAACATTTTAAGCAAAGCTTCTTCCATCAAAACTTCCCTTGTGTGTTCCTTTATAAACA